TCCATGAGTACTTAAGGAACTAAGTGTAGCAATAAGTAAACCTCTGTTTTTAATCTTTCAAGATGCTTTTCTTTCAGGAAGTGTTCCGGAGGATTGGAGGAAGGCAGATGTGGTTCCAATATTCAAAAAGGGTTAAAAATCCTTGCCTGGAAATTATAGACCTGTGAGCTTAACTTCTGTAGCTGGGAAAATATTTGAAAGGTTATTCAGGGATAATATTCAAGAATTCCTTGAGAAGAACATGGTCATCAACAAAAATCAGCACGGTTTTATGAAGCACAGGTCATGTCAAACTAACTTGATTGAGTTCTACGAAGAAGTAAGTAGAAGTATAGATCAGGGTGTTGCAGTGGATGAGATCTATTTGGATTTTGCCCAGGCACTGGATACAGTTCCACACAATAGATTAGTGTTCAAACTCAAGGAAATCAGTCTAGATGAAAATGCTTGTTCTTGGGTAGAATATTGGCTTACAAACAGAGTACAAAGAGTTGTCATTAATGATACATTTTCAGGCTGGACAGAGGTGGCAAGTGGTGTTCCTCAGGGGTCTGTTCTGGGACCCCTTCTATTTAACATGTTTATAGATGATCTTGAAGACAGCATTAAAAGTCATGTTTCAGTGTTTGCAGATGACACAAAACTCTGTAAAATAATACAATGTGAGCAAGATATTACTTTGCTGCAGAGGGATTTGGACAGACTGGGGGACTGGGCACTCAAGTGGTAGATGAAATTTAATGTTGAAAAATGCAAAGTTATGCACTATGCACTTCGGCGTAAAGAATACACAAGCAACGTATTCCCTTAATGGAAGCGAATTAGGGATAACAACACACGAAAAGGACTTGGGAATTGTTATAGACAACAAACTATGCAACAATGTGCAATGCCAATCAGCAGAGGCCAAGGCCAGTGAGGTATTGTCATGCATGAAAAAGGGCATTCATTCTCGGAATGAGAATATAATTTTGCCTCTTTATAAATCACTGGTAAGACCACATATTGAATATGCTGTGCAATTTTGGACACCTGTTCTAAAGAAGGATATGATGGCATTAGAAAAAGTGCAGAGGTGGGCTACAAAATTAATAAAAGGAATGGAACATATCAGCTATGAAGAAAGGTTAACAAATTTAAACCTATTTAGTTTAGAAAAACGTCGCCTGAGAGGGGATATGATAACATTATACAAATATATTCGGGTCCAATACAAACCATTGTGTGGAAATCTATTCACAAACCGTACTTTACATAGGACACGAGGTCATGCGTTTAGATTGGAAGAAAGAAAATTTCATCTAAGGCAAAGGAAAGGTTTTTTTACTGTAAGAACAATAAGGATGTGGAATTCTCTGCCTTAAGAAGTGGTTTTATCAGAGTCCATATAGATGTTCAAACAACTACTAGATGCATACTTGCGAAAAGAGAGTATTCAAGGATATAATCTTTCAATGTAATGTAATAACTGCTTGATCCAAGGATAAATCTGACTGCCATTCTGGGGTCAAGAAGGAATTTTTTTCCTAGCTTGTTGCAAAATTGTGCTTCAAACTGGGTTTTTTGCCTTCTTTTGGATCAACAGCAAAAAACAAATGTGAGGAAGGCTGAACTTGATGAACGCAAGTCTCTTTTCAGCTATGTAACTATGTAACTATGAGAGATAAAGCCACCCAACTTAAGTAAAATATTGAAATTTACTTACGGTATATGATTGTGTTAATGAGACACAAATAACAGGTATTTTAAACCTAAATATAGCCAGAGTATAATAGCATACATAGATTCATATGCTACATTTATAATACATATAATATTTTATGTTCAATATATTGAAGTCTGACTAAACTGTGATTTTCACTCCTCTGTCACAGGAGCCTCATTATTAGTTCTATTAAACCCTGAACTAAAAGCAAATAGCACTATCCCTCTTTTTTAATTCTTATATTGTTAGTTTTCTGAGTGTTTAACAGAGCAGTTAATAGTAGTAGTTAACACTAGTGGGAAGTTAGGTGTTGTTGTGAGGAGTTAGAAGTTGAAGTGGAGGTTACAAGATGTAGTGTGGGCATAAGGTGTTCTAAGGGTTAGTGGCAGTAGTGGGGGGGTTGATGCTTAAGTGAGGGGTTACGAGCTGTAGTGCAGGGTTAGATGCTAAAATGGGGGGTAGAGGCAGTAATGGAGGGTTAGGACATGTAGTGGGAGGTTATGGGCAGTAGTGGGGGTTAGGACCTGTAGTGAGGGTCAGAACCTAGAGTGATAGTTAGGTGCAGTAGTGAGGGGTTAGGGGGGAGTAAGGGGGCAGGACCTGTAATGAGTGGATAGGGAAAGTAGTGGGGGGTTATGAGCAGTAGTTGGGGGTGATTTGAGGGCAACAGTGGGGGTTTAGGACCTGCAGTGAATGAATAAGGGCAGTAGTGGGGGTAAATGGATATGCTGTGGAGTTAGGGCCTGTAATGGGGAGATAGGGGCAGTAGTGGTGGTTTAAGGGATATGGTGAGGAGTTAGAGGTAGCAATTGGGTAAATAGGGGCAGCAATGGGGGTTAAGGGCTGTAGTGGGAGGTTTCAGAATATGGGGGGGAGTAAGAGGCAGTATTAGGGGTTTAAGGGATATGGTGGAGAGTTGTGGGTAGTAGTGGGGGATATAAGGGCAGTGGTGGGGATTAAGGGATATGATGGGGAGTTAGGGGAAGGAGTGGGGGTTCAGGGATATGGTGGGGAGATAGGGGCAGTAGTGGTGGGGAGTTAGGGGCAGTAGTGAAAGAGATAAGGGTAGTAGTAGGAGGTTAAGGCATATGGTGGGGCTTTAGGGGCAGTAGTGGGGGTTAAGGAATATGGTGGAGAATTAGGGTCAACAGTGGGGGTTATAGGCTGTAGTGGGGGGTTACAGGATATGGTGGGGAGTTAGGAGCAGTAATGGCAGGTTAAGGGATATGGTAGGGAGTCAAGGGCAGTATTGGGGGTTTAAGGGATATTATGTGGAGGTATGGGCAGGGTTAAGGGATATGGGGGAAGAGAGGGGCTGGAGTGGGGGACACAGGGGCAGTAGTGGAGGGTTAAGGGATATGATGGGGAGATAGGGCAGTAGTGGGAGTTTATGGGTATGGTGGGGGAGTTAGGGACAGTAGTGGGGAATTAACGGATATGATGGGCAATTAGTGGCAGTAGTGGGGGGTAAAGGGATATGGTGGGAGTTAGAGCCAGTAGTGGGGAAGATAAGGGCAGTAGTGGGAGGGTTAAGGGATAATAAGAGGAAGGTTATCTAAAGCTCAAACTAAATAATTAATACATCTTGTTCATGTAAAACAAAGCTAATTCTTATATTTACTCATATGAATTTAGGTGTATAATATGGTCATATGGTTTTACAACATTGATTATATTCATTGATAATTATTTTACTGTAATACCTCTAATTTTTTAACAAATTGAAAAGAAAATATATCTTGTTGTTGTAAAACTCCAAGAAAATAATTTTATTAACACACAAGTATACAATATGGTCTTAAAATATTGATGGCATTTATTCACAATCAAAAGACCTCTAATTGTAAATTTATATGTGTTATTTTTGTATTTAAAGAATAGTTGAGAATCACCAATTCCTCTATACCACATTGTTAGCATTGTACAACTATTTACCACACATTCACCAATTATTGACAATTATTGATAAGTGGGAAAAACATTTGTTTTTACTTATCAGCTTCCTCTAAGGATATCCCAGCATATATTTACCATAGCAAATATAACCAAGCAAATAGAGGATACAGCTAAAGATCTACAGAAAAGTAAAAATGCAATACAGTGATACAGTTAAAACATGTAATACACATTTGCAAGAAAAAGTATGTGAACCCTTTGGAATGATATGGATTTCTGCACAAATTGGTCATAAAATGTGATCTGATCATCATCTAAGTCACAACAATAGACAATCACAGTCTGCTTAAACTAATAACACACAAAGAATGAAATGTTGAACATGCTTTTATTAAACACACCATGTAAACATTCACAGTGCAGGTGGAAAAAGTATGTCAACCCCTAGACTAATGACATCTCCAAGAGCTAATTGGAGTGAGATGTCAGCCAACTGGAGTCCAATCAATGAGATGAGATTGGAAGTGTTGGTTACAGCTGCCCTGCCCTATAAAAAACACACACCAGTTCTGGGTTTGCTTTTCACTAGAAGCATTGCCTGATGTGAATGATGCCTCGTACAAAAGAGCTCTCAGAAGACCTACGATTAAGAATTGTTGACTTGCATAAAGCTGGAAAGGGTTATAAAAGTATCTCCAAAAGCCTTGCTGTTCATCAAGGTAAGACAAATTGTCTATAAATGGAGAAAGTTCAGCACTGCTGCTACTCTCCATAGGAGTGGCCATCCTGTAAAGATGACTGAAAAAGCACAGCGCAGACTGCCTAATGAAGTGAAGAAGAATCCTAGAGTGTCAGCTAAAGACTTACAAAAGTCACTGGCAAATGCTAACATCCCTGTTAGTGAATCTACAATAAGTAAAACACTAAACAAGAATTATTTCATGGGAGGATACCACAGAAGAAGCCACTGCTGTTCAAACAAAACATTGCTGCACGTTTACAGTTTGCACAAAAGCACCTGGATGTTCCACAGCAGTACTGGCAAAATATTCTGTGGACAGATGAAACCAAAGTTGAGTTATTTGGAAGAAACACACAACACTATATGTGGTGAGAAAAAGGCACAGCACACCAATATGGTGGTGGGGGCATCATTGTTTGGGGCTGTCTTGCTGCATCAGGGCCTGGACGAATTGCGATCATCTAAGGAAAAATGAATTCCCAAGTTTATCAAGACATTTTGCAGGAGAACTTGAGGCCATCTGTCTACCAGCTGAAGCTCAACAGAAGATGGGTGTTGCAACAGGACAATGACCCAAAGCATAGAAGTAAATCAACAACAGAATGGCTTAAACAGAAGAAAACATGCCTTCTGAAGTGGCCCAGTCATAGTCCTGACCTCAACCCGATTGAGATGCTGTGGCATGACCTCAAGAAAGCGATTAACACCAGACATCCCAAGAATATTGCTGAACTGAAACAGTTCTGTAAAGAGGAATGGTCAAGAATTACTCCTGGCCATTGTACACGTCTGATCTGCAACTACAGGAAATGTTTGGTTGAAGTTATTACTGCCAAAGGAGGTTTAACCAGTTATTAAATCCAAGGGTTCACATACTTTTTCCACCTGCACTGTGAATGTTTACATGGTGTGTTCAATAAAAACATGGCAACATTTCGTTCTTTGTGTGTTATTAGTTTAAGCAGACTGTGATTGTTGTGACTTAGATGATGATCAAATCACATTTTATGACCAATTTGTGGAGAAATCCATATCATTCCAAAGGGTTCACATACTTTATCTTGCAACTGTATGCACAAGCAGAGTTGCACTCACAGGATGATGACTGTTGCATGTCACTTTAAGGTGTCTCCTCTTTGAATGTTGGGGGTGTAGAGGGGTGCCTAAACCAGGATCCCTTCTCTTGGCTGCTGGCCTCTAAACCAGTACAGAAGATGGAACTTCAGTTGTTATCAAAAATAGAAAATGCATAATGCCCCCTGTCAATGAGAGACAAATACTTATTGAATTGACACTGACTGAAAGACACACTTACTGATAAACACACTGATACACACTCTAACTTACAGACACACTCATTGACAGTCACACACTCAATGATTTGACACACACTGACAGACAGACTCAATGACAATAGCACTCACTGACAAAAACAATCACTGATAGACACACATTCACTCACAGTCACACTGACACACTTTCAATGACAGATACACAATCTTACGGATTTGAAACACACTCACTGACAGACACACACACACACACTGAAAGACACACTTACTGACAAACACTCATTAACAGTCAACCACTGACAGACACACACTGATAGACACACGGACACACTGTGTCAATGACAGACACACTGTCTCACTGATTTGAAATGCATTCACTGACAGACACTCACTGACAGACACTCACTGACAGATATAAATACACACTAACAGAATCACAAATCTACACATTCTAGCAAACAGAATCACAAATTAATTTTATTTCTTGTGTTTTATTTTTTTTAGGATCATCCAGCTTAACTACCTTTGGGATAGCTGGTGTGGGTACTCTTCCTGGGGTCCAGTGGAGATCATCTCTCTGGGGAATAAAAAATGAAGAACTTATTGGGTTTGGGACATAGTGGTCAGCACCAGATCCACCAACGGGTCTGAACCCTAGAAACAATAAATACCAAAAAAAAATGGAAAATGCCCTAAATAAGGGCTTATTCTACACTGGCACATTGAAAGGGGAAAATAAAGTATATACAGCTTCATGAAGTGAAAAATGTTATTAACCCCTTAGTGACCATACCGTTTTACAATTTTCCTACCGTTAAGGACCAGGGCTCTTTTTACATTTCTACGGTGTTTGTGTTTAGCTGTAATCTTCCTCTCACTCATTTATTGTATCACACATATTACATACCATTGTTTTTGCCATTAATTCGTCTTTCTAAAGATCCCATTATTTTCATCATATCATATAACTTATTATAAAAAATTATAAAATATGATGAAAAAAACACACTTTTTTTTAATTTGACCCCCAAAATTTGTTACGCATCTACAACCGCCAAAAAACACATAAAAACACTATTTCTAAATTTTGTCCTGAGTTTAGAAATGCCTAATGTGAATATGTTTTAGTTTTTTTTGGAAAGTTATAGAGCTATTAGTACAGTAGAACACCCCAATATTAGTTCAACAACATCTCTCGAGTGCAGTGATAGGTGTGTTGGGTTCTCTGGGGGCTAAAAGATCTTATTTGGAGGGTGCACACTCCAGTTTTTCAATTTGGAATTTTCACAGCTGGTCAACCACCACCCATGTCCTATTTGGGACATGTTTGAACCCAGCCAATGTAATTTACCCCCATCAGACCATATATTTTTGAAAAGTAGAAACCCTAGGGAATTTGAAATGGTGGTATTTTAACAATTTCCATGCACTAATTCTACCACCAGTCTTTGTCAAACCTTTGGGTAGTCATTTTTTTGTGTTATTTTTCTCTCACATTGTACTTTAGGCATGGATTATCAGTTCCTGTTATGTGTTACTGACAAAGAACACCCCAATATGTGTTCAGCAACATCTCCCAAGTACAACAGTGCCCCCAATGTACAGATTTTATGTTTTGTTTTTTGTTTTTTTGCAAACTTACAGGGGTCAAATGTAGTGCTTTCCCTTTTTCCATATTTGATCATTGGAATTTGCCAGATTGGCTTGCTGGGCCTATGTTCAGTGGTGTATTTTTGGATTTGTGCTGCCCTAGGCAGGATGATGCTCGGGCACCCCTCTCCTCCCCCTCATATTCCCCACCCCTTCCTGTCAATGCCACACTTTGACTGACAGACACTTTTTTACTGATGCATTCATTGAGATACACTCACTAAAAGATAGTCATTGGCACACATACAGTTTAACCAACACAAACTTTCACTGACAGACAGACACACACTCACTAACAGACACACACACACTCTCATACACACCGAGAAACAATAACATACACACTGACTGAACTGACACACTAACAGACACACATTGACAGACACACACTCACTGACAGATGCACACACTCACTGAAAGACACATACACTCATTGACAGACACACACTCTCATATACACTGACAAAAACATACACAAACACTCACTGATTTGACACACTCTGACAGACACACATTATTACTCAGATACTCACTGACGGATGCACACACTCACTTACAGACACTCACTCACAGACAAACACACTTTCACAGATACACTCACTCAGAGAAACACACACATTCATACTCACAGACACAGACATTTTCCCCAACACTCACAAATTATTATTTTGTTTTTAATTTTAATTTAAATCCACCCAGCCTCCCTGGGAGAGCTGGAGTGGATTACTTACCTGCAGTCCAGTGGGGCTACTGCGCGGGCAGGTAGGGGACGAACAGGCATAGAAGGCGGCGAGGGAGCTCTTAATCCTGCTCAGCTCCCTTGCGTGCCGCTTAGTGATGGCAGGAGCTGGAGTGACGTAATATTCCAGCTCCTGGCTTCATTAAGTGGCTTGCGAGGGAGCTGAGCATGAAGAGCTCAGGTGAGCATGCTCCCTTGCTGTCCACCGGGATAGAAGCTGCCGCCCACCTTGAGGGGGCTCAAAAGTGGCCAGCTGGACAGATTTTGAGCCCCCTAAGACACAAGGCAAACAAGGGATACACCTGGGAGCTTGGGGGTGGCTTTTTTTCCCGCCCCCTGCAAAGTACCGCCCAAGGCAAATGCTACATTTTTTTTTCTTTTTAAGTAGGATACAAAATTTGCTAAAAGTTGGCTACTTGCCTTTTTTTTTTTTTTTGCTACTTCCTTTTCTTCTGTTGACTATGTGAGTGAGTTGAACAGGAAATACATTTGTTTATGATGACCTCATCTTCAAGATAGAAGTATAAATATAACTGTCTTGAGTGATATTTCACAGTTTTTGAAAACATCAGGTTGAACACAGAAAGAATCAGTTCTGACAGTCAAACATCATGACACCCGTTATCATATTGCTCTGTATGTTGTCATCTCTGCTATCACCAGGTGAGATTTTCTTTTCGTATTATAATACATTCAGGACAGCTATGGGATATTGTGAAAGTTTATTAAATATTGCATTACCCTTTACCTGTTTTTTCAAAGTAATTTCATATTTAAAGCCAAACAAAGTTACAAGTACGCTTAACTTCCAATTTGACCATTTTGGCCTTAAATTAAAAATTCTCACTTTAGTGAATAACTCTGTTAGTGAATAGACTTGTGACTATATGACAAAAAAACTTATAAATAATTTGCAATGCCTACATTATATAAATCCTTTTAGTAGACACCTTTTGGTATTAATTTTTTTAAGTATTATTTTTAAAAGAAATGAATGTATATTATACCTGATTTAGGTAAAATATTGGTTATTGTGTTACAGTAAATGATGATGATAATGAGGCACCAATCACAGATGTGAGAAATCTGAAATTTGGTTATACTTCATATATCATATAGATACATACATTACATATATAATCAAAGGTGGCTCTCTAATTAGGCAATTTAAGTGTCTGCCTACGGCCTCACGCTGACAGGGGCCTCGTGGCCATCTAACCTACCATAGGGCAGACTGAAGTGTCGGGTCCTCGCTCTGTGACCAAGTACCCGACACAGGAGGGGGCCTGGCGGCTTGCCCATTATGTGGCAGGGTGCGAGGCTCCTCCGCATAGTCTACCCGAGAGAGTGCCCAACACAGTTTTCAGTCTGCAGTTCTGGTGGTGCAGAGCTGCAGACTGACGTGCCTCGCGATCTCCAGTTTCGGAGTTTTGCCGCAGGTTACTACGGCAACCCTCTCAAACTGGAAATTGCAACACACTTACCCATGTGGTCTACAGCTCTGCACCCAGAGGAGCTGCATACCAAAGTGCCAGCCCACCGGATCACCAGGGATAGATGGAGACCACTAGACCACCACGGAATTGTTTCAGAAATACAAAAAGGTATTTTACATACATTCTGTCACTCCCACTCCACAGTCTGTCACCCCCTCCAAACACTCTTTCACACCCTCCACACACTATGTCACCCCTCCACACACTGTCACACCATCACCACACTCTGTCACACCATCCACAGTCTGTCACCCCCTTCACAGTTTATCACCTCCCTCCACAGTTTGTTACCCCCTCCACACACTCTGTCACCTCCCTCCACAGTCTATCACCCCCCCTCCATACACTCTGTCATCCCCCTTCACACACTCTGTCACCCCCTCCACTGTCTGTCACCCACCACCAGACAGCCTGCCACCTCCCTCCAGACAGCCTGTCACACCCCTCCACACAGTCTGTCACCCAGCCTCCACACAGTCTGTCACCCCCTCTACACAGTATCACCCTCCGCACACAGTCTATCACTATGTCAACCCCTTTTAACACGCACTCTCACCCCTTCACACACACTATGTCACCCCCTTTACATTCTGTCACCTCTGCACACTGTCCTTCCCCCTCCACACACTGTCATCCCCCTTCCACACACTGTCGCCTACCCTCCACACATATACTCAACCCCTTCATACACTGTCACCACCCTCCACACACTGTAACCTTCCTTCTCCCTGCCACACTTACATTAACCCCTCCTGATCCCATCACACTACAACCTCCAAACATCCCGCACTCGCCTCACATCACTCTACCACACTCATCCTATCACATTAATCCTCTAATTCTGTTACATCCACCTGTTCTCGTCCTGTCACATTCCCTTCACCAACCGTGCCACACTAACCCCCAACCCTGTCACTCCACCAACCCTGCCACACTCACCCTTCCCCCTCTGCTACACTAACCCTGTCAATTAACCCACCTTAATCTTGTCACATTCACCTTCCCTTGCCCTGTCACACTTACCCCGCCAATAAAAACAAATAGTGTAAAAGGATGTAGGTCACTGCACCACACACATGTGCAATACAATCAAAACAAAATGTGGTGAGAACACACTAAAAGGCATACACATCACCACACATGTAAATGGAATAGTCCTGTAAATAAAACAAAACAGGGGAAAAAAAACGTTATAAAAAAGTGAAGCCTTAATTAAAAACTAGATTTATATTCAGAGGAGCAAAGAATTTTAAACAAAGTTTTTTAGATAAAGAAAATGAAGGAAATACAAAATGTTTTCTATTATTGTGGAGAATGTAGAGGATGCAAATCGAGAAAGAATACATTCAAAAAGATTTTAAAATTCACTTAATTTGCAACTTAAAAATTCTTTGCTCCTCTGAATATAAATCTAGGTTTTAAATAAGGTTTCACTTTTGTAGAACGGTATTACCCTATGTGTTTTCCTTTTCTGTTTTATTTACAGGACTATTCCATTTACATGTGTGGTGATGTGTATGCCTTTTAGTGTGCTCTCACCACATTTTGTTTTGATTGTATTGCACTTACTCCTCCAACCATCGCACATTCATCCGAAGCCTGTGATACTAACCCCCCCCCCCCCCAAACATGCCATATTCACCCTGGCACATTCACTCCCTAATCCTGTCACACTTACCTCCCCTCACCAGTAACACTCACTCCTCCAACCATGTCACTTTCACCCTCCAACCATGTCTCATTCACTCCCTCTTACAGCAATAATACTCACACCAATGTGTCTTTAATCCCTCAAGGACATTTCCCATCATACTGGTCTTTTACTTCTGAAGTTCTGTCCTTAAGGAGTTATTCTATATATTTACATTTGTTGCTTAAATGCTACTTTAATCTATGAATGTGTTGAGAAATCATTTTGTGTAAATAAAAAACATTGTTCTTGTTCTAAATTACACTTTTGCTGCAAACAGCCCTGCCTCTGGCCACACTCACAACCTTAAAATAAAAAATAAAAAATACCTCAATGTTATAATCAAGGGATAGATTCTCTAATCAGTGTTAAGGATTTCTCTGCTACTGAATAGCCATGTTCACATAAACCTCAGTTGAGGTATTGCTATTCAATAAGTAGAGAATACAGCCCCAAATGTATAATGATATTTTGGTTATATTAAGAACGACACGTCACCCATTTTAACCAAATTCATGCTTGCTTAAACATGTTCTCAATGTGAATTTTTTTTTTTAACAATGATACTTAAATATATGGAAAACTAAAGTGTTATTTTTTTAGTTTATGGTGTCAGATGCGTTGATTGCCTTAACCAAAATGGATTTACCTGTGACAGTGAAGAGAACATAGTGGAATGTGGTGATGCAGGTTGTGTAACCCTGTCCGAAAGCTGTACTATTGGTAAGTGTAATTTCTCTCAGCAGAATATGGACATGCAGGTTGTTAGACTATTTATAAAATAAGCTGTACTCAGGGGTGAATCCAGAGCACAGCCTCAAGATGGAAATTGGAAGAGTATATAATTGTGACATATTATTATAAAAAAAAAAAAAAATAACCATGACAAGCAGGATTATTGTGTGAATATTGTGAGGTTTTTTGATGTGATATAGATTGTGTGTGAATGTAGTTAGTATTTGTGTGGAATGTCACTTTGTGTATGAATGTAGGGTGTATTTGTGTGGGGAGTCACTGTGTGTATGAACGTACTAGTATATTCCCAATTACAAATATATCAGTATATGTGAACACAGAGATGTATATACGGATGCTATGTTTATATATGTGAATGCAGGGTGTATATGTCGGAATGGGGTGTCTTTGAATATATGGGAATGTGTGAATGTAGGTCTGTTTATTTTTACATGTTCTCTTTGTCTTGTCACTGTCCCTCTCATTGTCACTTTTTATGCCTACTTAACATATCCTTTCCCTAAACATTTTATTTTTTAATTTCTCTTTTCCCATCATTTATACCCTTCCCATGTCACTTTCCCTTTCCAACTTACTTCCACTCTTCCACTTATCGTTTCCCTTTCATGCAATTTGCTCTACTCAAATCCATCTCCACCTCCCTGCTCCCAAGGGCTAAACTGGAGCTAAATATAGACTCAGACAGTTATAGCAAACATTTGTCCCTCAACTTTCAAACCCCTCTCAATCCCCCTAGAACCCCTCCATGGTGATGCCCTTGAAGAATATCAAGAAAACCATTAAACATACTTTTTATAAGTATGCACAAAATTTGTGTGCATGTGTGCGTGTGTGTGTGTGTATATATATATATATTTTTTTTTATTACAATACATGTGTTGGTATGTATAAGTTAGTATATGTTTTTTCTCTACATTGCACGTTTGTGTGTATGTATACATGTTTCATACATCATGTATTGTTTAAGCATGTAATTTTGCAGACTAACCTTTCGTGTGAGCTGCAGAACATCCAGAGAGAAGAGACAATTTAGCATTTTTAGAATATACCTCCAATTGCAGGTCAGGGAATTTGACTCCACAAACAAAGATGCATTTTGCCACCCACCCCTCCCCCACACTGCAAGCGCTTCGTTCTTTTCAAGATCCTCCTATTCTTAATCCACGCAGTTATGTGACAGACACAGATATCATGAGGGCATTATCTGGCACAAAGGATGTCTGTGTGAGAGCAACACAATTGTGACTCGCACATCCGCAGTGCTCCCAAACAGGGCTGGATTTACTTTTAATGCACCTGTAGAGGCAAAATTTGGTAAGTGCCCACATCCATACTCATTCTCTCACACACATATAACCCCACGCACATTCTTACTAGACAATCAAACAAAGCAAACGCGTGCACTTGTTTTTCAACAAATCGCAAAAAATGAATGTAAAATTATGTTTTCATTCATTTTATCCAAAAACGAATAATTATCCCAAAATGAAGGACAAAATAAAAAAAAATGAAGGACAAAATAAAAAAAAATGAACTAACCGAGCAGCCTCCCTACCATAACTAGGAGAGCTGGAGTGGATCCTCTGCTGGATGTTGTTGGAATCCCAGCGCTCTGCCTGTATACCTTGTAGTGATGCTGAGGTCAAAGTAACATCATACCCTAGCATTACATGGCTCACAAGGGAACTGTGCTGCCAGAGTTCCCTTGAGGCCTTGCCCCCCATATGGTTATTTTGGGTGGAGCTAAAGCCCCCCATATGATTCACTTGGCTTCAGCTAAAGCCCCAAAAGCAGTATTGGCACAACCCACCTTGGACACCCTTAAAGGCCAACATGTTGGCTTCACAAAAACGCCATCTCTGTCCCCCTCAGTATTCCCTCATCTCTGTGCAAATCTATATGTTTTTCTTTTGCCTGGGTTTCTCCAAAATTATTTTCTAAGTTTTCCCCCTTTCTCTCCGAGCCAAATGTTATCCAAATTTGGACCTTAAATGCCATATTGTTCAACAAATGTGTTTGTCTACTCTATATATTAAATTTATTTTTATATTTTTATATCTACAGAAGACAGATTTGTGCCTTCAATTAAAAAAGGATGTGCTGTAGGAATTAATGAAGATCAAGTGTTAGCTGTCAATGACAAAGATCAAGTATCAAACTATGTAAACATTGACTATTGTCCAGAAGATCTATGTAACCAAGGAACAGGATTTACTAGTAAGTATTTTTAGATACTCAGAATGTTATTTAAATGTTTTACAGGATATGTGAACAACTATAAAAACATATTCTAATTTTATCAAGTTGACCCCAGATCAATTTTCAATTTTTAAGATTTGTATTAAGTTAGGTTGCATCAGAATAAATAGTAAGTGCATAACCACAAACAGTATAATGCTTACTTGTACAGTATACTTTATACAAGAGTTACATTTTAAGAAGATGTATATAAAGACAAACATATCTGAGATTAAATGGTTACTCCATGTACAATGACCACTTCAGTGATCAGAAGTGGTTATGGTGCCTGGAATCTGTATGTGCAGCATTTTGCTAAGAAACAATGCACATTTGGCGTTTAAACCGTTTGCTACCATGGTAGTCCAGGGGTGACTAATGTCAATTATATGCATATTTCTATGCACATCGATGCTGACCCTCTCAGCCAGTGAGTGAATGGCCAGTGAATTCAGCATCTGGCTTCTGAATTTCTGAAGAAGCCAGATACACATCACTGGCCAAAGAAGAGCCTCTGTGGCTGTCAGGAAGCCAAGTGAGAAGGCAAAACAGTTTGCCACCTTACCGGGATAATGTCTTTTAAACCTGTTAGTGCACTAAAGGACTCCAAAGCACACTTGTAGTTACAGCTGGTAACAAACTGACTTAATTATTGACAGATCTTAAGATACTGCAATAATAATTAAAATAATACTGCAAAAATAAATGCATATCGTTCATACCCAGTGTATTCCTGGTTTTGTTTTTATTACTTCTCACATAAAAGCATTGAGAACACACAGCAAATGTGCTTTTCCTGTGATCCACCAATCCAGTGGGGTTTTTTATCAGAAGTTTTGCATGCACACCGCATCCAGTGTGAGCATATTTTACATGTTTACTGGACGTCAAACTGACGCAATAACCAAATCTATTTCTCCCAGAAGCAATTAACAGCTGTCTTTTTGACAGCTACTAGTAGACGTGCGCATTGCAAATTTTAAATAATGTTGTTTCATGGGTGTTTTGGTGCTTAGGTTATCCCGTTATAAGATCGCTTACATGCATTTCAGTGACATGGATTTCTGTCTTCGTTCAGGGATACGTGAGTTTTGTATCTAAAATATGATCTCATCTCTTTCAGATGTGAACAACGACAACTTTGGTGAACCAAATGGAAATTACTGTGAGTCTTGCTTCAGAAGCAACTCGACAGATGGATGTTCTTCCAGAGATCGAGTGGAATGTCGTGGAAATCAGTTTAGTTGTGTATACTATATAGGAATATTAGTAAGAGGAGGTAATGTGAATATTATATCTGGAAAAATATGAAAAATGTATATTTAATAAAGGGAACAGTGTATATGCATGATTGTGCATTTATATCAAACACAACAGACAGCATCCCCTACTCAACACAAACTGCATTCCTGAATTCTACACATATATACACAACCTCTCCGACTAAACACACACTACATTTTCCACACCACACACAGTTTCTCCCACAAAATGCACGTTGCATTTTCTACGGAGGCTGGCAGAATTTAAAAAAAGAAAACCATCACATTTTAAACAGTTTAATCAATGCAATAAAAGTAATAATAAAAATATGATCCCGTTTTTATGGCGGGATCAAAGGAACAATTATAGAACTAATTTGAAAAGTTTCCAGTAAATTTACTGACAAGTGTCAATCACTAAAATGGTGTTGCAATTTTTAGCAAGTAACGGCCATTTACAAACTGTAAATACCTACCATTAGCAACTCCTAATTCCTAGCTGGTGAGATTTTTAACAGCTACTACCAAGTATAAGAATAATAGGTAAATGCTGTCCCTATGTCACCAAACTGAAAATCTGGCCTCAGCTAGGTATAAGGGACAAAGTCAAGTTAACAACTGCAAACTTCTCAAACACCTATAGGTAAATATACATTTTATCAATATGTCGATATAAACCTCTAATCTTCATACTTCCATTTTGTCCTCCTCTGTCCTATCAGATGTCTACTGTTTGTCCTTATATGGGATTCTTCTGATTGATGATTAGTTTAACAGCTGGGTTGGGGCTTTGCATAGGCTCTGCCCAATACAGAAGAAAACATTTTGTGGCCCCTACTTTTTCTTCTTTATTCCTAAAAAACTAAGATTAAAAGAAATATGAAAATACTGAGGGACAAAAAGTATCTATATATATATATATATATAAAAAATAATAATCCTGAAATGTGACAATGCGGTTTAATATTCCACTTTACTTAATTTATTCCCGCTATCCTGACATTCTGAAACCTAATCAGGGATTGCCACCTAATTCTACTCCACTTGATACAACATTGTCCCTTTCTATGCCAATCATACTACCCTTCTCCTGACTCCTCTCCACACTAGACCCCCTCTCCATCCCTTCATGTCTAATACTTCTTACACATATAAAATATGACACATACCTGCTGCAGCTCACTCTTTGTAAAATATTAACATTGAGATGTAGAATTATTTTTAATGCCCCTGAATTTCAATATATTATTTCATTATATATGAAAAGGGTACCCTTAGCATATGTTGTTGGTAACATCAGATTCATATTATACTCTGTTTTGCAGATGGCACCATTGGAAAGTATAGTATCAAAGGCTGTCTTTCCGATGCAGTATGCATCACGAAGTTTGGATCCCTGCCAGGAACCGAACAGCTGGAAGAGAAGTTATTTGAATGTAGCGAAACTTGCACAGAACCGATAGACTGCCGTGGATGTGAATAAAATTACATTTTAATAACGTTTCTGCTTGCTAAGTAGTTGTATGTAGATTCTCATTTGTATAGCATTCTCAAAGATGATACATGAGCAGGAACTGAATAGAAATCATAGAGTAAAATTTTGCTATTAACATAATAAAACAAATCTAAAAGAATGCACTTAAATTCAGGTTGTCCTGCTTACTCTTTATGTACTGTGCACTAACACCAATAGTCCACAATGAAACATTGCATTTATTTCACTATCATAATAATTGCTCTTCACATTAAGCCTCTAAGAACAAATGGGAACTTAAATGCAACTAGTTAATCCTTTGTTTTATTAAGTCTAGTTCTGTATTTATTCTGCTATAGAGTTAGGTGGATAACAACATATTAACAAATAATGAAAGAAAATCAGATGTGACTTTATTCCAAATATGCTATAACAAACTCAAAATAAGTTGCTGAAATAGAGCATATCCCATAACTATAAATTAAAATCTTACATTAGAAAAACAACACTTTATTTGTACAAATACAAACAGCAATTAATACATGAGGAAAAAAAAAATCAAAATATTCCAATACCTGCAACTATATGAATAATGATAATCAGCAGAGACAGACCCTCAATATTTCAGTAAACAATATCTGGTTACGTTGGGGGTCTGTGTTTGTTTTTGTTTTTTTATCTCTATTGCTACATTTGCCAATTATTGTAAGACTTTAGTTGGATTTTCTGGTGTATTTATTGATATATATATATATATATATATATATAGTGAATTGTTAATTGATTTTCGACGAAAGATAAGTACTGAGATAGGACACTCATGCTTTGCAGGGCCATGGTAAAGTGCATGATCATAAATGTGAACACACATGTCCTTTATAATATTTGAACGTGGCAAACCAAGACATGAAATGTCAATTATAACAGTTTGATAGACCTGACAAATCTTATGATACTATACAATATTCTGAGAGTCTAAATAAACAGGAATAAATAAGTGGTGAAATTCAAAGTCACTAACAACTCTTGTCTAATAGTCATCGTGTGATATAAAGCTCAGATTTGAGGGCAACAGTTAAAGGAAAAAAACAAACAAAAACAAAAAGCAATTACATATAAAGTTATGTAAATATGTAAATCCATATCCCTTAGATGTCAGGGATGTCTTCCCTACCGGTGACCTAGGACCCCTATCTAAATCAACACAGTCTCCCAACCGTCGTCTCTGTACCCTCCTGGAGTTCCAGTCAAGCTACCATATGTCAACATCTCTGAAAATCAGCCTGATAGGCCACTGTCAACCAATGTGTCTATGTATCTACATATTATTATTATTATTATTATTATTATTATTTTATTATTTTAATAGCGCAGCAAATTCCATAGCACTGTACAATGGGTGAATTAGCAGACACATAATTGTAACCATACAAATGGACACACAGGATTAAGGGCCCTCCTCAATGAGCTTACATGCTAGAGGGAGTGGGGTATAGTCAGGGACGTATTAGCCGCGAGGCAAACAAGGCATTTGCCTTGGGCGGCATTTTTCAGGGGGCGGCAAAAAACGCCGCCCCCCAAATACCCAGGGCAAATGCCTAGTTAGCCTCGCGGCTAACTGACATCCCAGGCGGTCGGCGCTGGCAGGCGGGCGGCTGGCGAGGGAGCACTTCCTATGAGCTGACTGCTCAGCTCCCTCGCGCGCCGCACAGTGAGGCTGGGAGCCGGAAGATGACGTCATCAACCCGGCTCCCAGCCTCACTCTGCAGCCGGCGCGCGAGGGAGCTGAGCATAGAGTTCATAGGAAGTTCTCCCTCGCCAGCCGCCCGCCTGCCAGCGCCGCCCGCCCGACCGGCAGCCACTGGACCACCAGGGTGAGAGAGACCTCCCCCCCCCAGCACTCCCAAAGGTAAGGAGGTTGGGGGGGGATTTAAATAAAAAAAAAGTTAATCTCTGTGTGTGTCTGACTGTGTGTGACTGACTGTGTTTGTGTATGTGTGTGTGTGTGTTTGTGTGTGTGTTTGTGTCTGGCAGTGTCTGTGTATGTGTCTGACTGTGTGTGTGTGTGTGTATGACTGTGTGTGTGTGTGTTTGTGTCTGTGTGTGTGTTTGTGTCTGACTGTGTGTGTTTGTGTCTGTGCGTGTGTTTGTGAGTGTGTGTGTGTGTCTGACTGAGTGTGTGTGTGTGTGTGTGTCTGACTGTGTATGTGTGTGTGTGTGTCTGTGTGTGTGTGTGTCTGACTGATGTGTGTGTGTTTGTGTGTGTTTGTGCCTGACTGTGTGTGTGTATGTGTGTGTGTTTGTGCCTGTCTGTGTATGTGTGTGTGTATGACTGTGTGTGTGTGTTTGTGTCTGACTATGTGTGTGTGACTGTGTGTGTGTTTGTGTCTGACTGTGTGTGTGTGAGTGTGTGTGTGTATGTGTCTGACTGTGTGTGTGTATGTGTCTGACTGTGTTTGTGTGTGTGTATGTGTATTTAGAAGGTGGGGCAGGGGGAAGGGTTGGGTGGGGGTGGCGCGGGGGGAGGGGGGTGCCTGAGTTTTGTCCTGCCTAGGGCAGCACAAAACCAGGATACACCACTGGGTATAGTGACACAAAAGGTATAAGTAGGGGTAATGAATTAGGTTGCTAGAAAAGTATTCACTGAGAACTTTGGTTATTTTGACAGTTGCAGGAGAGGAGTCATGTGGGGGGGGGAGAGGGGATGAAAACCCGCTAACAGTTTAAATTATATGCTTTCCTAAAGAAGTGTGTTTTCAAATATTTTTTGTAGGTGTGGAGACTGGGTGAAAGTCTCAATGATTTGCTGCAATGATTTGTTCAACATATGTGTTTGGCTGGTCTGTATATCAAATGTATTTTCAGAACTGATTGTCAATAGAGATGTCGCGAACCATCCGCGAACTTCTCGCGAACGGTTCGCCACGGTCGTGGCGAACTCCAGTCAGCTGACACATCCCGGCCAATCTCCAGCAGACTCTCCCTCCCAGACCCTCCTACTTCCTGGACAGCATCCATGTTGAAGGCAGCTTCACGTATAGCTGCTAGCAGACGAACAGGAAAAGCACCCAAGCGGCTTACACTCCTGGCAATCAGTCTCTAACAGCATACAGTAAATCCCCCCAAAGACGAGACTGTGCTCCGTGTTGCGGGTCAAGCAGTGGTCTGGTTTATTGAGGGCTACCTGCCCAGTATTTATGCAGGTCTCCCAGCTGGCGGACACTCTCGTAGGGGACCAAATGGGAGACTGTGACAAAGGACAGACATGAACCAATGACAGACACACAGAGGTAAAACATCCCCACAATGCATCCTAATTTCCCTCCCTCTGTCCTGGAGATAATTGGGAAGTAATCCAATTATCTCCCAGGACAGAGGCAAAACTCCTTTAACCAAATGGCAGTAAAAGACAGTAAAAGACATAAAAATGTATAAAGTTACAACTGTTGCACAAAACATATACATTCTACCTATCCCAAGATAGCTTAGATCTGAGTGCACATTATTACTCAGATCACATACATACAGTTCAATCGCCATGGAGCCAAAGTCTTTCCAATAGTCTTTCGTTACACGAATAGGCTCCATGGCATGGCTATCTGGGGTAATGCTGTTCATATGGTTAAACTACAGAATGAACAGGCATCCGGTTAAATGACAGAATGCAGACGCAAGGAGGCTGACGGCTCAGCGGTGTTCACGCAAATAAGTGTCCGTTTCCAGCTCCATAGTTTGGGCGCTGAACACCGCTGGCCATTCACCACCACGTGTTCGGCAAATGAACAAAGGCCAGTCAGCATTCGTCAATTAAGCTGCGGTTAACCGCTGCTTCTGGGTGGTAAATTGCTGACACACTCCCAATACAGGTGGTCCAGTCATTCGGTTGTTTGTTCCATAGATTGAATCTACTGAACGCTGGGCATAAAGGCACGAACAAGCCTTTTCTGCAGGGGAAAAGAAGGCTTTTTAACATGGGGCCATAGTCCAAGGGCAACAGGCGTTCAACCAGACTTCTCCAATGCTTCGAGACGAGGTTGGTTTCTCCACAGCTAATGTCAGTTTCATTCCATGGTTGATCCGCTTGCCCAGTGAGTGGCCACTGATCTCTGTGTCCATCTTCGGCATCTCTGCAGAAGCTGGATACACATTGCTGGCCAAAGAAGAGAATCTGTGCATGGCAGGAACCCAAGTGAGAAGGCAAAACAGTTTGCCCCATTACCGGGAAAATGTTTAAACTAAATCACTCCAAAGCACTCTTCCAGTTATAGATCGTAAAAAAACTGTCTTAATTATTGACAGATCCTGACTAGAGTTGAGCGGACACATGGATGTTCGGGTTCGCAGGTTTGGCCAAACTTCGGCAAAAAGTTTGAGTTCGGGACTCGAACTTGACCCCGAACCCGAACCCTATGGAGACCTGAACTTTTGGGCACTAAAATGGCTCTAAAAAAGTCCTAGTAAGGGCTAGAGGGCTGCAAAAGGAAGTAAAATGGGGGTGAGAGAAGGACAAGTGCCCTGCAAACAAATGTGGATAGGGAAATCATTTAACCCCTTAAATCCGGAGGGCGTACTATTACGCCCTGCAGGAGCCGGCTCTAAATGCCGGCGGGCGTAATAGTACGCCCTCACTTTAATGGCCGCCAACGTGGCCGGCGCTATTCGCCCGCTGCAGATCGCGGTCGGGGGGGATGCCCGGCCCCCCAGGCAACCCCCCCTGTGGCCGGTGACCGCGATCTGCAGTCACTGATCGCAGTGACAGGCTGTCACTGCGATCAGTTTTTTAACGTGTGTCAGCCGATTTCAAATCGGCTGACACACGTGGCCAGCGGCTACCCCGTGCAGATCGCGGTCGGGGGACTTACCTGGCCCCCAGGCAGTCCCCCTGGGGTCAGTGACCGCGATCTGCTAACTCTGAGATCGCAGTGACAGGCTGTCACTGCGATCTCAGAGCGCTCTGATCGCAGTGACAGCCTGTCACTGCGATCAGTGTTACATGTGTCAGCCTATTGGCTGACACATGTAACTGGCACAAAGATCCCCCTGCAGATTGGAAGGGGGGAGTGCTTGTACCACCCAGGCACTCCCCCCTGTGGCCAATTACCCAATCTGCAGGAGGTGATCACAGTGACAGGCAGTCACTGTGATCACTGATCCTGTGTGTCAGCCAGTGATGTGAAATCACTGGCTGACACTGTCTCTGCCCCCTCTCCTGTAAAAAAAATAAAATATTAGTAAAAAAAAAAAAAAATTACAGTTAAATATAAAATATACTTAGATCATATATATTATATATATATATGATCTAAGTATATATATATATATATATATATATATATACACACACACACACACACACATTTACACATACACGAAGAGTATTTAAATATTAATATATATAATTATTTATATATATATTACTATTAAATTACACGTAGACTAATACTGATTAAATATATATATATATATATATATATAATTATTGTTATATATATATATTTATATATAATATAAAAAATGTAAATACGTAAAAAAATAAAATTAAAAAAATAATTAAAAATAAATAATAAAAAAATATATAGATGTTTGTTATTTCGTTCTAACTGTATTGTGATATTAATATATATATATTTATATCAAAATACATGTAGAACGAAATAATATATATATCTATATACATAAATATATACATATATATCACTAAATATATACACCTATATATAAATAAAAATATTTTAAAAAAATATATATATATATATGTATATATACACATATGTATATATATACATATATTAATTCTACACATATATTTATGTAATATTTTTACATAATTAGGTATCCTAATTAATTACAATTAGCGGGACCTGCCTGACAACCCATGCCGAAAGTATAGGGAATTTAATTTGCTAGCACTATATTTAACCCTATAACTTTCCAAGACACCATAAAACCTGTAAATTGGGGGTACTGTTTTACTCGGGAGACTTCGCTGAACACAAATATTAGTGTTTAAAAACAGTAAAATGTATTACAACAATGATATCGCCAGTAAAAGTGAAGTTTTTTGCATTTTTCACGCACAAACAGCACTTACACGGATGATATTATTGCTGCAATACTTTTTACTGTTTTGAAACACAAATATTTGTGTTCAGCAAAGTCTCCCGAGTACAACAGTACCCCTCATGTACAGGTTTTATGGTGTTTTCAAAAGTTACAGCGTCAAATATAAGGCTTGTGTTTCATTTTTTTCACATTAAAATTCGCCAGATTGGTTACGTTGCCTTTGAGACCCTATGGTAGCCCAAGAATGAAAATTACCCCTATGATGGCATACCATTTGCAATAGTAGACAACCCAAGGTATTGCAAGCAGGGTATGTCCAGTCTTTTTTAGTAGCCACTTAGTCACAAACACTGGCCAAAATTGGCGTTTTTTTGCATTTTTCACACAAACAGATACTAACGCTAACTTTGGCCAGTGTTTGTGACCAAATGGCTACTAAAAAGACTGGACATACCCCATTTGCAATACCTTGAGTTGTCTACTATTGCAAATGGTATGCCATTATGGGTGTAAATTTCATTCCCGGGCTACTATACAGTCTCAAAGGCAACGTAACCAATCTGGCGAATTTCAATTTCAAATGTAATGTGCTATATTTGACCCTGTAACTTCCCAAAACGCCATAAAACCTGTACATAGGGGGTACTGTCTTACACGTGAGACTTTACTGAATACAAATATGTGTATTTTATTGCAGTAAAAGCAAACAGTATTATGACATTGACAGTTAAAATGTCATGTAGAACTAAAAAAATCTTATTTTCTCCCATTTTTTTCATATTAAATTATGTTTCATAGCTAAATATTTGATATTAAATGAAAGCCCTGTTTCCCCTGAATAAAATGATATATAATAAGGGTGGGTGCATTTACTATGAAAGAGGTGTATTACGGTTGGACAGACATGTAGCGCAAATGCCAGGTTTTGTTTACATTTTGTTTCGTTCACAACGTGTACATTTGGCTCCGTCCTTAAGGGGTTAATAAAGTGAATGATTCTGCATTTATATCCCACACAACACTCACAGCCTATCCAACTAAACAAACACTACATAATCCACACAACACTGTACATGATTGTGTGGGATTTTTGTTATGATGGCTGGCAGAATTTACAAAGAAGAAAACTAACATTTACTTTTTCTTATGTATTACTAAAAAAATAAGGTGAATAATAAAAAAAAAAATATATATATATATATATATATATATATATAAAACAAGGCAATACTGAGGGACAAAAAAGTATTAATTTAAAAATCAAATCCTTAAATATGATATTGCTGTTATAATATTGCACTTTACTTAGTTTCATGTTCCTCTTGCATAGTTTGTCTCAAGGCTTATGTTTTTCTTTGCTTCCCTTCAGCAGCCACAAAGCTGGTGTTTGATGTTCCGTATTGTGTGATGCTCAACAAGGACAATGCTAGCATAATGTACCTCCTCCTGCAGACCTCCTCTGTCTTCTCTTAACCAGCCTGCCTGTCCCCTCTCTGCATGGTCCTCACTCGATAAGGACCCACGACCTCTTGCTGTACCTTTTTTGATTTGGGACCAAACCCTTTTCTCTGTTTAGATCCTTTAGCACTTGTACTTCCCATCCTGACTAGGCCAAGGCTGCCCCACTACCCTGCTATTCAGAAACCTGTGGTTGCTACCTCATCATACTCCATTGATAATACATGTCCCCTTTATATGCCCATCATACTACCACTCTCCTGACTCCCCTCCATCTCTGCATGCCTAACACTCCCTACACAAATATAAAGTATGACACAATACTAAAATTCACTACAGTTTTACTTTGTGAAACTGCAACATTGATATGTAGAATATTTTCTATTCCCCAGAATTTAAAAAATATATTATTTCACTATATACCAAAGGGGTACCCTTAGAACATTTGTTATATTTCTATTATGTTCACTAATCTTCAAGTATAGCTTTCTAGATGTCTGTCATACATATTGGAGGCCACAACTACATACCAATAGACATTCTTAGTGTTGACATTTGTAAATTCCCTAATTTCATACTCCTTCCATCTAGAGTTAGTATTGCTATGCAGAATCTTTTTTTATGCCCAGAATTTTAATAATATATTATTTCACTACATGAAAGGGGTTCCCTGATTCATACTATATTCTCTGTTTTGCAGATGGCACTATTGGAAATTACAGTGTAAACGGCTGTATTTCCGATCTGATATGCAAACTGAAGTTTAAATCCATGCCAGGAACTAAAGAGCGTGAAGAAAAATTCTTTCATAGTAGTGTACCTTTACACTGCAGTGGATGTGAATAAAAATACATTTTTAATGATTTTCATGCTTGCCAAGTAGTTGCCAAAAATGTAGATCCAGATCTGTATAACATTCTCAAATATGAAACAAAAGCACGAATTGAATACAATTCACAGAGTAAAAAACTGCTATTAACATCATAAAACACGTCTTAAAGGACCACTATAGTGCCAGGAAAACATACTTGTTTTCCTGGCACTATAGTGCCCTGAGGGTGCCTCCACCCTCAGGGTCCCCCTCCCACCCGGCTCTGGAAGGGGGAAAGGGGTAAAAACTTACCTTTTTCCAGCGCTGGGCGGAGAGCTCTCCTCCTTCTCTCCTCCTCCGTTCCTCCTCCTGGGCTGAATGCGCCGCAGCAGCGGCAAGAGCTGCAGCATTCAGCGGTCCTAGGAAAGCATTTACAATGCTTTCCTATGGACGCTGGCGTGCTCTCACTGTGAAAATCACAGTGAGAAGCACGCAAGCGCCTCTAGTGGCTGTCAATGAGACAGCTGCTAGAGGCTTTGGGGGAAGGCTTAACCCATTCATAAACATAGCAGTTTCTCTGAAACTGCTATGTTTATAAAAAAATGGGTTAACCCTAACTGGACCTGGCACCCAGACCACTTCATTAAGCTGAAGTGGTGTGGGTGCCTAGAGGGGTCCTTTAAGTGATGAGAGAATTCAGGTTGTCATGCTTACCTTTTATGTACTGTGCATTAACACCAATTCTTTATCATCATACCGAGTATTTACATTAAGCTTTTGGGAACAAATGGAACATAAATTCAATTAGTTAATTCTTCATTTTTTTAAGTCTAGTTCTGTATTTATTCTGCTATAAAATTGGATGAATGACAACATATATTTAACAAATAGTAAAAGTAAATCAGATACGACCTGATACCAAATGCACAATAAAAATAGCAAAGTAAGTTTTTGAAATAGCGAGTATCCCAAACGCACATCACAATTGACCTATATATCAATATATGTAAATATAACATCTAATACTTAAAAACAAAATACACTTGCAAAAATACTCATGAGTTTGTGCTTGTCTTGCTGTAATATCTAGATCATTGAAATATAATTTCTAATCAATAAAGTGCTATCACTGCAAATTCAATTCATGTTGATAATGATTCAGTTGTCCCGTTCTATGAATTCCAACATAACACAACTGTGACCCCAGCAGGCTATTTAAGGTACTTTCCAATCATGGATTTTAAGGCCCAATTTAACATTTATCCCTGCAACTAAGAATCTTCATTTGAACACTGCAGTTGTAAGGCCCAGTTTAACTTCCATCACCGCAACTAAGAATCTCAATTTGAACACTGCTCTCTTTTCAATCCCCACCTTTCACTTCATGGAGGTCAAACCCTATCGGATTTGTCACAGGAAAGAAGTTCATGAAACAAAGGTTAACTATCAACCTATCCGCCCCCTGTTCATCGGAAATTTCAAGTTTAAGCAATGAAAGTTAGGTTAATATGTACCGGCGTGCTCACAAGATGTTTTCATTATGGGTTTAATATTTAAAATAGACCACTGGTTTGTAAAAGCCACAAAATGTCTGTCTTAGCACTGCAATGTTTATATTGCAGGACTAAGTGGGACATAGACATTGCACCACTTCAATGAGCTGATGTGGTCTGAGTACCTATAAGTCCTCGTAAAGCATATTTTGAGTAATGGTACATATTCATTGGTACTCACATAGCAAGAGAGTATGCAATACACATATAGTATTTTTCATTGTTTAGTACCTATAGCAAGAAAATAAATAAAATGTAATAATACAAAGCAATAATGACCTTGTAAAAACAATTACTATATATGGTCTGGTTTGCATGTGGTTACTTTAGGTTGCCATTTGCGAATTTACCTTGTCTCCAAGTTGTCTTGCTACTTGGGCTTGCTTGCTTTCCTCTGGATACAGTGCTTCTCTTACTCAACCTCAATCCTCCCATCAAGTTTGCTTCCTCCTTAATTTCACCAGAGACTGACTCAGAAGCACACTCTGAAAACAGTCCCAGCCGTTGCCTTGGTCGCAGTCCCACGGCGTCATTACCGTTTGGGTCTACTCTCTATATTCAGTCTATTCGCATGCTCTATTTTCGTATGGTAATTTGTGTATTTCAATTCATTTGCAACTCACAAATGCTTGTCATTTTAATTTTTCAGGGGCTTTCGGGATCTTGCTTGTATATTATGACTGTCTTTTTTTGGCTCAATTCTCACGAACGACTCACATATGTTTTTGCATGTATACTACGGTTTGGTGGAGTGTTTGGTTAGGTCAGTATGGGGAAAGTACGAATGCTCTATGGCTAGATAGACCATTCGCACAATACACACAAACACTATTTAGCCTACAGCTATGGTTCCCTAATTATAATTACACGAACATCATGCAATATGGTTATTAGTATGTAGTTTTAAACTCTCTTGTGGTCATAAAGAATATTTAATTTACATTAGTTTTGATTTAACTTTGTCACTTAGAGACCGTGCATATTTTACATCCTACTAAAATCCTCCCCCTAGCCCCCACCTCTGAGCGGTGGGTTGGGGGCCCTAAATACTAATAAGGGGGGGACCGAATGTCCTCCCCCCTGGCCCCCACCCCTGTGCGGTGGGTGGGGGCCCTAAATACTAATAAGGGGGGACCTAATGTCCTCCCCCCTGCCCCCACCCCTGAGTGGCGGGTGGGGGCCCTAAATTGGAATAAGGGGGGGACCTAATGTGGGGAATAAGGGGGGGACCTAATGTCCTCCCCCTGGCCCCCACCCCTGAGTCAGGGGTGGGAGCTGTGGGGGCCCTTTTTTTAACAGTTTAATAGACATGCCCCTACTCTCGGTATATTGAGGAGGTGTAACATGTACTAATACTAAGTAATTTTTACTTAGTATTAGTAGATTTGGCAGAAAGACCAATTTAGGTCTTTCAGCCTTTTGGTAGATAACTCCCTAATACCGTGGGAATTAGGGAGTTATCTACTAAGCGGCTGCAAGAGAAGTCCCGAAGTGCCGAAGTCTCAAAATTACGAAATGCCGAAGTTCAGAAATTCTGAAGTTCCGAAGTGCCGAAGTTGCCGAAGTTCCGAAGTGGTGAAGTTCCGAAGTTGCCGAAGTCCCAAATTTTGGAATGCCAAACCGAACTGAAAATTTTCCCCATGCATATGCCTAGTTGTAAACCGTTTTTAGTTTTTATTGTAGTGTGTTTAGCAAAAGGCTTTACACTATATATTTTTTCTTTTGTTGTATGATATTGCAAGGAATCCCAAGCTATTGAACACAATTATTAAGCTAAGTTTTTTTCTTATTTAGTTTTGGCACAAATTAATTTAAAACTACAACCCATGGGGTAAATTTTAAGTCACAGTGCATGCTTTCACATTGTGCTATTACACGTTCAATATTTTATTGCTTGTTTTGTACCATATACCTTATTAATAATTGCGTTTTTTAGAAAAAACATTTGGTTTGCTGTTTGTGCATATCGTGTGGGTGCATTGAGGTGAATTTGGGAACAAACGTCTGGTTATTGGATTGTCGTGATTTTGTGAGCAATTTTTATATATTTATTTATTTATGTTATTTGGGCAGTGGAATGACATTTTAACCCCTTAAGGACAAACTTCTGAAATAAAAGGGAGTCATGACATGTCACACATGTCATGTGTCCTTACGGGGTTAAGGTACTGCTTCTTTTGGGTCCTCTTTTTTTCTTGAAAACAATTAAGATGCCACCTTTGCTGAACATTGGCTTCTTGCCTTTTTTCTACTACTTCCTTGTCTTCTGTTGACTATGTGAGAAGATGCAATAGGAAATAAATATGTTTAGGATGACTTCATCTTCAGTATAGAAGTATAAATATAACTGTCTTGAGTGATATTTTCCAGGTATTGAAAATAAATTGAACGCAGAAAGAACAAGTTCTGAGAGGCAGACATCATGACATCTTTTATCATACTGCTCTGTATATTATCATCTCTGCTACCCACAGGTGAGATTTTCTATTCATATTACAACAGATTCAAGACAGCTATGTTACATTGTGACAGTTTAACCCCTTCCTGTGTACATCCAACAAAAAACGTTCCTTAAGGTCCTCAGACGTATCAAGTACATGCACAGAATTCCTACTTACTTACCAAATTGCCGCCGTTTCTCCGCTGGCGATCGGTGTTACTCTTTGTCTTGGAGGACTGTCTGACAGCCCAGTCAGTCCCCCCTCAGCAAATTAAGATCCCAAATGCCATGAGCGGTCACATGGCCGCAATAGGCATCTATAGTGCTGCCTGTACGGGGACTACCTGAACGGAGCCCTGCTGGTGAAAAAAAAAAATGTTAGTAAATTAAAATAAATAAATAAATATATATATATATATATATACACAGCAACAAATTTAGCTGCATTCATGGTCTGTAGATAAAATCTTCAATTCTTTATTAAATTCATATTAAAAATAGGATCGATGTTTCAGTCCCCCTCGTGGACTTTCCTCAGGTTCAAAAAAAGAAGCTTTATTTAGAAATCCCGTGAGTGCTGATTTTATCTTGTCTTGTATATCTAGTGCAATCTAGCACCGGGTTCCATATTTTGTAAGTAGGTGGGCAAGGTTTTCATCTCTTTTATATGTATGGAAAACAATAATAAGGTGCACTCCTGGATTTGAAAACACCCATCTTCTGTTGAGCTTCAGCTGGTAGACAGATGGCCTTAAGTTCTCCTGCAAAATGTCTTGATAAACTTGGGAATTCATTTTTCCTTTGAAGATAGCAATCCGTCCAGGCCCTGACGCAGCAAAGCAGCCCCAATTTGTGCAGAAATCCATATCATTCCAAAGGGTTCACATACATTTTCTTGCAACTGTATATATATATATATATATATATATATATATATATATATATATATATATATATATATATAAATAAATAAAAATAATACGAAAAAATAAATATACACGTAGACTTCAAATATATAAATATGCATATGTATTTAAATTATACATGCATATTTATGTAATAAAATATTATGTAATATTTTTACATAATTAAGTAATTTTATTGATTGCATTTTGGGGGACCTGCCTGACAACCCAGACCAAAAGTCCAGAGAATTTAATTTGCTAGGACTATATTTAACCCTGTAACTTTCCAAGACACCCTAAAATCTGTACAATGGGGGTATTGTTTTACTCGGGAAACTTTGCTGAACACAAATATTAGTGTTTCAAAACAGTAATACATATCATAGCAATTATATTGTCAGTAAAAGTGACATTTCTTGCATTTTCACATACAAACAGCACTTTCACTGATGATATCATTGTTTTGTTATGTTTTACTGTTTTGAAAAACTAATATTTGTGCACAGTGAAGTCTCCCAAGTATAACAGGAGCCCCTCCCCCACCCTCCATGTACAGCTTTTATAGTGTTTTTGAACGTTACAGGATCGAATATACGACTTGATTTTCCGTTTTTTTTTCACATTGAAATTTCCAAGATTGGTTATGTTGTCCTTGAGAGCGAATGGCAGCCCAGGAGTGAGAATTACACCCATGATGGCAAAAAAGACAACCCAAGGTATTGCAAATTGGGTATGTTCAGTCTTTTTTAGTAGCCATTTAGTCACAAACACTGTCCAGAGTTAGTTTTCAAAAAAACAAAACAAAACTAAGAACATGTTGATATTGGGTATTTCTAAATTTCAAAATTTAGAAACTATTTAGCATTTAGCATGGGTGGTTTTTGGCGGTTGTAGATGTGTAACAGATTTTGGGGGTCAAAGTTAGAAAAAATGTGTTTTTAAAAATGTTTCCTCATATTTTATAATTTTTTTATGGTAAATTATATGCTATGATGAAAATAATGGTATCTTTAGAAAAACCATTTAATGGCGAGAAAAACTGTATATAATATATCTGTGGGTACAGGAAATGAGTAAGAGGAGAATTACAGCTAAACACAAACACTGCAGAAATGTAAAAACAGCACTGGTCCTGGTAAGAAAATTGAAAAACGGTCTGGTCACTAAGGGATTAACATGTATTGCATTACCTTTTGCCTCATTTTCTAATTTTATTTCAAGTTTATCAGGGTTATTCAATAAAGTGGGAATTGATTAAAAATTCAAACGTTTAAACTTGAAGGCCAAAATAACCAAACTGGAAAAAATTTAAGTTAGCTTCACTTCCAGTTTGAATATTTTGGATTTTAAATTATAATTTAACTTTGCATTCCCAGCAATTCTCATTTTAATGAATAATTCTAGTTAGTAACTAGTTCTGTGAATATTTGACTTATAACCTGATTAAGGATATGCAATATCTACATTATATGTTTGTTTTTATTAGACAAGTTTGGTAACAAATGTGTGTGTATTTATATAAATATTATTTAAAAATACTTGAATAAGGTCAAATATTGGATATTTAGTTACAGTCTATAATAAAGATATTTAGGCACCGATCACAGCTGTGTAAAACCTGAAAATTGGTCAGACTTCAATTTCATATATAGATTAATACATTACATATATAACATATAATATATTATGTTCAATATATTGAAGGCTGACCAAACTGTGGTTTGCACCTGTGATAAGGACGGGAGATTTCTTTCTTAAAATAGCGTTGCATTTCATACACTATTTTTCTTGTTCCTGCTTAGATGTTTATATAAAAAAAGTAAAAACATTTTTTTTAAAGTGCTTCTACATTTTATATTTTTTATACTGTTCTATTTTGAGTTGCTCGATTTGTTGTGAGGCTTGCCTTCGTTATTGTTTTTCCACATATTCTATTACCTACTTGTCCTAGTTCCTCAAACATATTCCCTTTCTATTTTAAATAATATTTACAAAGTCTAAACTCAAAGTGAATAATTGTGACCATGCTACTTAAATATGGCAACCTAAAGTGTTATTTCTTTAGGTTATGGTTCCAGATGTGTTGATTGCCTTACCCGAAATGGATATACCTGTGAAAATGAAAACAACATAGTGGAATGTGGAGATGCAGGTTGTTTGACCATATCTGAAAACTGTAATTCCAGTAAGTACATTTTCCTGCAGCAGAATATGGACATGCGGATTGTTTGACTGCATAAAATGAACTGTACTCAGGGTTGGATCCATAGCCCAGTCTCATGATGGAAGAGTATATAACTGGAACATATTTAAAAAAACCAAAAAAAAAACACTCACCAGCAATGCCAGTTATTGTATGTATATTGTGAGGTTCTGTGATGTGATGTTTTGTGTATGAATGTATAATAAAGGTTAACAGAAACTAGAAAAGCTACAATTTCTGGGGAAATTGTGTAAAGTGGTCTTGCCTCCCCCAGTAGTCTACAACTGGAGTGGGCGGAGTAACTGTTAATATTTATTTATATAGCACGTTTAATTGCAACGTTGTTGCCCAAAGTGCTTCACAGTTACATTAAAACATACATTTATAAAAACATTAGCAGGTGTATAAAAGGTCCTGTCTATGACATCACTTGCTGCTCCAGCCTGGCACAGGTCCTGATTTTCAGCTTTTGCCAGCTCCCACTCTTGTTTGGAACATTTTGCCATTCATTCCTATGGGACCAATTTTGCAAGAAGAACGATTCGGCGAAACGTTCCACAAAGTAATAGCACACCAATTGGGAACAATCCGTACGTTTCAGTATATTACTGTCTATGTAGTGTAAAAACTGTGGGAGGAGTTAGGGTGGTAAATTTGGCTATAAAAAGAATAATAATATATATGTGAGATAACATTAAGTGGTCTTGCTATGCAAGAACACTTAATAATTGTAATAATAATAAATATGTGAGATAACATTAAGTGGTCTTGCTATGCAAGACCACTTAATAAATATAACTGCACCATACATTTAGTGAAATAGTTGTGTGAAGTGTCACTGGATGTGTAAATGTGTGGGTGTATGTTTGTGGAGTGTCACTGTTTAATTGCATGGTTGTATGTTTGTCGTGTGTCACTGTGTGTGAATATAAGGGTGCATTTATGTGAAATTAAACTTTGTATGTGAATGTATATAGTATTTGGGAGTAGTTACCTTGTGTATGAATGTGTGGTGTTTTTGTGTATATGTATTTAAGGTGTATTTGTGTATATGAATGTAGGTTGTATTTGTGTAGAGGGTAACTGTGCGTATGAATGTAGAGGGTATTTGTATGGAGGGTCATTGTGTGTTAATCTACTAGTATATTTGCAAGGAATATCAGTGTATGTATGGATGATTGGTATATATGTGTGAATGCAGTATGTGTATGTGGAGTGTTTTTCAATGGGTGTAAATATGGGGTGTATATGTGGAGTTTCTGTGTATGTGTGAATGTAGAGCTGTTCATTTCTTTTAATTTTCTCTTCCTGATGTCACTGTCTCTCTCATTGTCACTTTCCATGCCTACTTAACATGTCCTTATCCTTAACATTTAATTTTTTCACTTCACTTTTCCCCTCAACTTTGCCCTTACCATGACATTTTCCCATTCCAATTTACTCAAACTCTTCCATTTGTCATTTTCCTTCCATGCAATTTCCTCTCCACAAATCATTCTCCACCTCCCTGCTCCTTAGCACTAGACTATAAATAAATATAGACCCAGGCAGTTATAGCAAACATCAGTCTACTTTAAACATTTGTCCCTCAACTTCCCTCTCAATCCCGCAAGAACACCTCCATGTTAATGCACCCGTGAAGACTACCACTAAAACCATAGAACATTTTATTATGCATACAATTTGTGTGCATGTGTGATAGTTTGTATAAATGCAAATATATATTTATAAATCATCTGTATGTGTGTTATATGTATATGTTCGTGTGTAACATAATGCCTATCAGTGTGTTTTTTCTACATTGCACATATATGTGTGTATTCCTGTGTAATACTTTATTTATTATTTAAGCAGGTGAGTTGCAAAACATCCAGGGCAGGACAAGGCATTTTGGCTACACAGACAAAGATACATTTTGCCACTTACCCCTCACCCACTTGTCACACTCTTTACACATCTCAAGATCCTTATATGCTTCATGCATACAATTGTGTTTCTCTCACACAAATATCATGAGGTTGTTATCTAGCACAAATGATGTCTGTGTGAGAGCTGCACAATTGTGACTCGCACATCTGCAGAGCTCACAAACAGGGCTGGATTTACTTTTGCTGCAGATGTAGAGGCTGAATTTGATAAGTGATCCCTACTCTTCAAAAAAACAAACAAACAAAAAACAAAACCTGAGATATTCAGTAATGTGATTATATATAAACATTCTTACATAAGCTACTGATACATAATCTTACAAACATATAATCAAGCACATATTCTTAGTAGACCTGTGCATTTGTTTTCGTACAAATAAAAAAATTAATGAATTTTTTTTTTTTGTTCAGTTTATCTAAAAACTTATAATGATCAAAACATTAAGAACAACTAAATAAAGTAATGGGGAATGGAGGTTATAGTAAAAATAGTAAAAAAAAAAATGTATGAATCAGAAACAATATATTAAGAGAGACCAAAGCAGAATAATAACAGTAAAATGTCCAATATAAAGTCCCAATAAACAACTTGCTAGAAGATATAGCCTGAGTTATGTCAGGGAAATTATTCTATAAAAGAGCTAGATCATTGTATCCTATGGAGCCGTATATAAAAACAGAGTGAAAAAACTAAGGGTGCAGCATATCCCAGAGAAAAGTAATAACAATAAAATAAGTCTTTATGGTCCTACTCACATTTGTTAGAGCTTACACCCAGCTCTAGTATGAATAGCGTACTGTGGTACAATCCCTACTTAAAAGATACATGACGAGAGGTTGATAGACAGGTGTTTCGTCTGTATAAAGACCATAAAAAGTATAAAAGAGACAACAATAGTGCTCACAGCATAAAAGGTACCAGGAGTATAAAATAATGAATGGCTACTTACATTTAATTGAGCAGGGAGACTGCTCCATGTGTAGGCGTAAGTGGTATAATCCCAATTTAGGATTCTTTAGGAGTAGTCCTCATTGGATCAGTGAAATCGGATGCCGGGTAGAATGTAAAAATATAAAATAGTAACAAATAAAAAAGTAAAATGGCACACACGATAGGAAGTAGCCAAAATACCTTTATTGATATAAAATAAACAATATAAAATTTGCATAACGCATTTCACCAAAGTGACTTTTCCAAGTGGAGATAGAAGAACTTAGCGCTGATCCATTTTTCTATTGTTTCTAACAAAGTAATGGACCTGGAACGAATTATATTCAGCGCCATTCATTCATTCAACACCTGCTGGTGTTCTGAGTGTATTAATAATCCCACATTAGGAATTGTTCTTACCTTTTTGCTTCATTAATTTCCACAGAGATTAATGGCTCGTCAGAAATGTGTTAAACATTTTTATCCAGTTTTGGACTATTTAAATAAATGTGAGAAATAATTTTCAGAATGACCGAACCAAAATTAAAATTATTTCAATGCACATTATTAACTCTTACACACACGCATACATACACACATTCACATTCAATTAGTATTATTTATTTGTCTTTCTAAGAGGACCACCTCTTCTCTCTCCCAAAACTATGAGAGCTGAAGTGGATCCTCTCCCTGATGGTTAGTGGAGACTGTTGGAATCACAATACTCTGCTTGAACAATTCCCTAGTAGTTATGATGAAGCCAAAGTGATGTTACACCCTAGCTCTACAAGGCGCACAAGTGAACTCTGCAGCCAGCACACAGTGTGTCTACAGTTCTCTGGTACCATAACGATGCCATATTTGGGCAGAGAAAGCATGGAGAAGTTTTTGCACTCCCACCTTGGACACACTAAAAAGGCCATCATGGCTGCCTCACACTTACGCTAGCACTGTCCCCCTCAGTCTTTCCACTTTTTTGTACAAATCTAATTATTCCACATTCTCCATTTCTCTTTTGCCTGTGTCTTGCCATAAGTATTCATTTCCAAGTTTTCTTCCTTTCTCTACCAAACACATTCTGTTTCTACCCACCTCTCTTAAGCATCTCTCCTCTTTACAGTCATATATTTCTATTCCACTGCTTCTGTGCAGCACTGTCATATGGTGTCTCCACTATCTGTATGGAGACACTGAACGTTCCTCATAGGGATGCATTTATTCAATTCAGCTCTATGAGAAGATGCTGATTGGCCAGGGCTGTGTCTGGCTTGTGCTGGCTCTGACAGTCCAGACAATCATATGGGAAAGCATTGTGGCTCACAGAATCACTTCTGATGATGTCACCCAAGCAGGCAGATCAGGGGCAGAGGCAGCAGCTGCAGACTTGAATACATGTAAGATTTTTCTATATTTAGGGATGCAAGGAGAGGGGGCAGGAGGGGCTAGATGGTGTTTTTAACACTATAAGGTCAGGAATACATGTTTGTGTTCCTGACGCTGTAGTGTTCCTTTAATGAACATTAGGCTGTTTCACTTAGGCAGTGTGAATGTGTTTCAATTACTGCAAAACAAACTCAAGTGCAAAGTGGTTAATGATGGTGTATAAAAAAAAAAGCTATCTATGCATTTAATGGAGAAACAAAGTCATAGAGGTACATAGCTCTTCCTTAATGTACACAACGTGGGGGTCTATGGCACTCATGAAATATTTAAAAGTAGATACTTGTAACCAAATATATACATCCTTTGCAATATGACATCCATATGTTTATCATGTGGTTTACAACAAAAGCTCAGTATAAACATAATTTGGAAAATGCACAAACAATTTCAGAGTAATGCATAAAAGCCAAAGGAATACCACAGCATAAAATAATTATAATCCCTGTGAAAAAAACCACACACTGATAAAACAACGAATTTGCACAAAGACAAGACAAAACATGACACAATGGCCAAAAATAAGTCTCAAGTCAGCCTATATCAAATAAGTAGGTCCTCACTGGGGAGTCTAGGGACAAGAGCAGGATTTGGAATTTAAAACACCTCTTCTTCTGCTTAAGAAGAAATAGGTGAATTATTGTATACCATGAGAATGTCAAGAAGAAAAAATACACTTTAAAAGTTCTCTAATAGATTTAACTATAAACTCAAATTGTTCTGGGATCCTTTAGAGATGTCAATTTCCATTTTTTTCAACATATGTGTTTGTCTGATCTATATACCAAAAATACGCATTTTTAAAACTGAATGACAATTTTTCTATCTAAAGCCAATCACTATTTGCCATCAATAAAAAAAGGATGTGCTGAAGGAATGGATAGAAGTCACTTGTTGTCTATCACTGACAAAGATCAAATGTCAACTCATGTCAACATTGAGCATTGTGTAGGAGATCTATGTAACCAAGGAACAAAATTTACTTGTAAGTATTTTAAGACACTCAGATATTTATTTAAATGTTTTGCAGGATATGTAAACAGCTATAAAAAATATTTTTTTTTCATTAATTTGAACCCATATCAATTGCCAATTTTTAAGATTTGTATTAGGTTAGATTGATCATTTCTTCAAAGAACGAATGTATCAAAGTAAACATTAAGCTTATAACCATAAAATGGTATAATTCTTACTGGTACAGTATAATTTATACAAGAGTCCAATTTTAAGAGATGTATAAAATAAAGACACTCATCTCTGAGATTAAAGGGCTACTCCAGGCATGCACTTGCTGGCCATTTACTGGCTCGGAGGGTCAGCAAAGGGAGTCAACTCCCTTTCAGCAGAGTTGACATTAGCCATCCCGGGACTACCGTGGTGGCAAAAAGTTTAAACTCCATATGTGCATTGTAAATACCACTATAAAGTCTTAAAGCATAGAATTAAGCAGGACAGACCATACAGATATCTCTAGCAAAAAATATTATATAGTTGGTAAGAGGTTTTTTTATTTAAAATATATAAATAACCGAGAATACAATAAAAAATAAAAAAAATAGGGAATTGGATGCAATACATTTTTGTCTCTTTTGAAAAAATATTTTATTGATCAGGGTATACCCTGGGTGACTAATGTCAATACTATGCACAGAATTACGTTAATTTGCTAATCCTCTCAGCCAGTAAATGGCCAGCAAGCTCAGCATCCGGTACCTCTGCCAAAGCCAGATACACATCAATGGCCAAAGAGGAGCCTAAATGCCTGTCAGGAACCCAAGTGTGAATACAAACATTGCAAAATAATTTGACCATTTTTGGGAAACTGGGAAAAATAATTTTGAATGTATAAATGCACTATAAAACTTCACAGCACCCTTTGAGTTATAGCTGGTAAAAAAAACGACTGGCTTTTTTTCATCAGAAGCATTGGATGCACACAGCATTCAGTGTGAGCATATTTTACATGTATATTGGATGTCAAATTAACTCAATAACTGAATCTATTTCTGCCAGAAGCCAGAAGCCATCAGCAGCTGTTTTTCTGACAGCTATGAGTAGACGTGCACATTGTAAATTGTAACTAGTGCTGTTTCTTACATATGACACTGTTTTCATTTGCAAGGAAAATCACTTTAAAAAGATGACATTCTTGGGTGTTTTGTTGCTTAGATTATCCCATTACTTTCAGATGCAAACGAGGAGAGCTTGGGTGCACCAAATGGAAAATACTGTGAGTCTTGCTTTAGAAGCAACTCGACAGATGGATGTGCTTCCAGAGATCGAGTGGCATGTCGTGGAAATCAGTTTAGTTGTTTATCCTATCAAGGAATAGTAGAAAAATCAGGTAATGGGAATATTATATCTGGAACAATATGACAAAATATGCATTTAGTAAAGTGAACAGTGTAAATATATGATTGTGCATTTATATCCCACACAAGAGACACATCCTCCCCAACTAAACACACAATACATTCTCCACACAACACACATAGCCTCTTCCGCTAAACGTATACTACATTATCTACACAATACTACACACTCTAAATTCCCCACACATCATGCACAGTCTCCCCCACAAAATGCACACTGCATCTTGCATTCCTACAAAGTTTGCCAGAACTTACTATGAAGAAAACTAACACTTTTAGAACATTTTAATAAATACAATCAAAATAATGATAATACTGTGATATCAGATTTTTGTTGCGACCAAAGGAATAAAAATAGGCTCCTCCGCTACCCTGTAATTCTGAAACCTAATTAGTAGTTGCCACCTTGTCCTATTCCACTTGATAAAACATTGTCCCTTCCTATTCCAATCTTACTACCCCTCTCCTAACTCCTCTCCACACTAGACCCACCCATCCCCTTGTGCCTAACACACTCTACACAGATATAAAATTTGACACAATGAAGCTGCTTACTCTTTGTGAAACTGGAACATTGATATGTAGAACATTTCTTATGTCCCAGGTGTTCAATAATATATTATTTCACTATATATTAAAGGTTACCTTTAGAACAAGTTATTGATTAAATCTGACTCATTATACTGTCTGTTTTGCAGATGGCTTTATTAAGCATTGCAGTGTTAACGGCTGTGCTTCTGATCTGATCTGCATACTGAAATTGAAATCCCTGCCAGGAACTAGAGAACTGGAAGAAAAGTTTTTTCATTGTAGTAAACCTTACACAAAACCTATAGACTGCTGTGGATGTGAATAAAATTACATTTTAATGACTTTTACGCTTGCCAAGTAGTTGTCAAAAAATTTAGATTCTGATCTGAATAGCATTCTTAAGGATGAAACACGAGCAGGAACTGAATAGAAATCACAGAGTAAAAAGACTGCTATTAACAACGTAAAACACATCTTAATGGATGAGAAAAAAAATACAGATTATGCAGCTTACTCTATATGTACTATGCACAAACGCCAATTCTCTAGAATGAAACATTGTAGATATAGGTATCATAATAACTGCTCTTCACCTTCAACATTTAGGAACAAATGGAACGTAAATGTAATTAGTTAATTCTTAATTTTACTAAGTCTAATTCTATATTTATTCTACTATAGAGTTAGATGGATGGAAACATATTTAACAAATAATAAAAGTAAATCAGATACGACGTGATCCCAAATGCACAATAAAAATAGCAAAATAAGTTTCTGAAATAGAGAGTATCCCATACGCACATCACAATTTACCTATATATCAATATATGTAAATATAACATCTAATACGTACAAAGGACACTTTATTTGTAAAAATACAAACAGCAATTAATATATAAGCAAATCAAAATCAAAATATTACAATCCCTGAAAATATGACAATAACAATAATCAGCAGAGACAGAACCGCTATATTTCTATAACCAATATCTGGCTAAGTAAGGGGTCTTTCTCTTCTCTTTGTCGCTATTGCTATATTTGCCAGTTTTGTAATATTTTGGTTTCTGATGTGTTTATTGCCATTTGCATTTGTACTATTTACTCTGAGATACAAAGTGTTTTTATTGCTAAAATACCTGCATTACATTTCTGTTCCTATATGTTTGGCTTATAGGTTTGTGCTTGTCTTGCTGTAATATCTAGATCATTAAAATATAATTTCTAATCAATAACATTTTATCACTGCAAATAAAAAGTCATGCTGTTAATGATTCAGTTGTCTCATTCTCTGAATTTCAACGCAGCACAACTCTGACCTCAGCAGACTATTCCAAGTACTTACCAAATATGGATCTGGTAGCAAATCCTTATGCACATTTAAGTACATGGAGGTTTTTTTAAGGCTCACTCCAATGGCCATTCAAGTGTAAGCTCACCTGCCATGTCAAATCAAAACCTCTTTGGTAAGTCTTACACCAACTATTCATGTTGCTGTTTTCAGCAAATGTGAAATGTGACTTTCTTTTACAAAAATACCTTTTTTTTTACCTGAATTATCATTTTCGATGAACGTGTTGTAATGTAATGGGCATATGTGGTGGTTTTGCACCATAATTGACACTTTCTGGGACCTCTTGACACAGGGTTTTGGTGAGATTAGATCTTTGGGTTTATCCATTTTCTAAACTTATGGAGAGTATGCCTACTGTTGAGCCAACACATTTTGATAAAATAATGTTAGCAGCCAGAGAAGTTTTAGCTCAACCATGGTTAAGCACTGAGATACCTTCTGTAGAGATGGTCTTGCTCAAGTCTAAAGACAACTATGTGATGTCAGGAATACTTTTCAAACTTTTAGAAAAACATGGCTTCTATGGGAGGCTGTTCATTGATATTACTGTCTATTTTCCTTTCGTGGGTTGGGGTCTGGCACTCACTGTCACATTTCTCTTCTCTTTTTCTTTCCTTAGTGCTCTTTTTATTGTCTTTCTGTTTCATGCCAAAGTCTCCTCTTTTCGACTGTTGAGGAAACAGTACCTTTTATTATTCTCTTTAACGTTGCACTGCAGGAAGATGTGACATTTTGTATACAATACAAATGCTATATAATGTGTTTGTTCAGATTCAAATACATACAAATGAGTTAATCTGTAAGAGTGGGCTCACAAGATGTTTTAATTATGTGTTTAATGTTTGAAGTAGGCCACAAGTTTGTAAAAGCCACAGAATGTCTGTCTTAGCACTGCAATGTTTACATTGCAGGACTAAATGGGACAGGGACATTGCACCCAGACCACATCAACGAGCTGAAGTTGTCTAAGTGCCTATAGTGTTTCTTTAAGTCCTCTTAAAGCATATTGTGGGTTCAGATGGTTACAATTGCAAGTCCAAATAGTTACAATTGCGATAACTAATGTTACATATTCATTTGTACTCAAATAGCAAGAGAGTACATAACATTCATGTAGTATGTTTGATTATCTAGTACCTACTGCAAAATAATTAAAATGCATTGTTTTGTTGTATTAAGAGGATCATCCACTAAATGAAAAAAAGAGAAAAAAAATGGTAGAAATAAAAAAAAGGGTGTATATAATGAAAGATAGTATTTATGAGTTCATAACACATACTAATCAACAAGGTGTTCTGTGCTGTTAGGCGCTTAAATACAATTTAAAGGTGCTCCTTTGATTGTAGCAGCTTCCAAACAAAAAATAGGAACTCCCCAATCCTATTATAATACAATGTAAAAAGAAACACTATTTACACAATAGATATGCCATTAGTGAGCGTGTGTAGCGCTAAGGAGTATTCACTTACTCCCCAAAACTGTCTAGGGGTGTAGAGGGTACATAGGTTGCTGTGAAAATAATGGAAAAATATATAGTGTATTCCCTGTTTTTTTTTCTCTTTATCGCTGAGGAACATCCAGGATTTGGATCCAAAGTGTGTGTGTCACCTTATGTACACACAAGCGAAAGTGATTAGAGCCTGCCCTTAATAGGCTCTATACCATGTGAGTGCTTTCTAATATAGAGTGTATATTCCCATTTATATATCGGAATACACTATATATTTTTCCATTATTTTCACAGCAACCTATCTACCCTCTACACCCCTAGACAGTTTTGGGGAGTAAGTGAATACTGCTTAGCGCTACACACTCTCACTATTTTACATCATAACACATACTGTATGAAACATATATATTACAAATATATGAAAAGGTACATAGGTCAAAATCTTTATTAAGAACTTTTATCGAAGGTTCCTAAATTGTATGCCTATTCCATCTCAATATGACCTGTGATGCTGAGGACTATAAGCACCGCACCAGACACCACAAGCACTGCAGACTCCATAGCCACCATAGCTTAACTGGAATCTCATCGTCTTTCTCCCACCCTGGACCAACCGCTGACTTCCAGGACTGTGTGGGAAAGACCTCTCCTCCAGGAAAGCGTATGAGGAACAGCTCTTACAAGAGCTAGTGATTATCCCAGGGAGTATACTGAGTATAGCAAGCCCTGATAGTGATATAGCGGTTTCCTACAATCAGAGACAGAACTCAGTATTGAGGGTGAAGAAGTCTGAAGGTTTAATGGTACAGGTTGGCTTAATATACAATTCCACAGGCCAGAGGCACACGCCCTGGACCTGATGGAGCACCGCATTACAAACTGTACAGACCAAAAAGAACAATATAACAATGACCGACACTCCCACATACAGTAAACAATCCCTCCCCTCTACCTGTGATATAATTAAGGTAGTTAATGCATTAACGTAATTATCTCAAGGCAGAAAAAATACGCATTTTTATAAAGTACCATAAGTACCCCACAACACGACATACCCCCATAAATGTTACATCCCCTGATCTGGGTGAACAACATATCCAAAAATCACCCAGATCACATCAGGGGTTCAGAAATTTTTGGGAAGTTATATTTTTGCCCAGGCAAATCCAGGATTTCATGCCCAAAACAGTTCCATAGATTTGCAGCTAAGTGCCGTTGGAGGACCGACCGGGAACCGCGAGGTTTTCATGCCAAAAATAATTCCAGGGCATTCGCGGCTAAGTCTCCCTGAAGTCTATTCATGGTCTTAGTCCATGCGAACAAGATGGCTGCTACCACGTGTTTGAATGTCAAATGGCGGCCCCTTCACAATGTGTAAAGTGCCAATAGGCACAATTAGGACCTCTCAGCCAAAATAAATTAAATAGGCCATAGTCACAGGGTAAAAGGCTGGCAAGTAGCCCCCTCCAAAACCCAGTGGCAAAATGGCTTTTGTCACATGACCTATCTGTAAAACGTTGATCTCCAATCATTTTTCAGTTTTATTATTCACTTGAAAATAAAATCATAGGGTCTGCATTAGACATTTCAGCAAAATGTGCCAATACACTGAGCTGCATATACAGTTGCAAGAAAAAGTATGTGAACCCTTTGGAATGATATGGATTTCTCACAAATTGGTTATAAAATGTGATCTGATCATCATCTAAGTCACAACAACAGACAATCACAGTCTGCTTAAACTAATAACACACAAATAATGAAATGTTGCCATGTTTTTTATTGAACACACCATGTAAACATTCACAGTGCAGGTGAAAAAAGTATGTGAACCCCTAGACTAATGACATCTCCAAGAGCTAATTGGAGTGAGATGTCAGACAACTGGAGTCCAGTCAATGAGATGAGATTGGAGGTGTTGGTTACAGCTGCCCTGCCCTATAAAAAACATACACACCAGTTCTGGGTTTGCTTTTCACAAGAAGCATTGCCTGATGTGAATGATGCCTTGCACAAAAGAGCTCTCAGAAGACCTACGATTAAGAATTGTTGACTTGCATAAAGCTGGAAACGGTTATACAAGTATCTCATTGCTGTTCATCAGTACACTGTAAGACAAATTGTCTATAAAAGGAGAAAGTTCAGCACTGCTGCTATTCTCCCTAGAAGTGGCCGTCTTGTAAAGATGACTGCAAGAGCACAGTGCAAACTGCTCAATGAGGTGAAGAAGAATCCTAGAGTGTCAGCTAAAGACTTACAAAAGTCACTGGCAAATGCTAACATCCCTGTAACATCAATACGTAAAACATCCCTGGTAACATCAATAAGTAAAACACTAAACAAGAATGGATTTCATGGGAGGATACCACAGAGGAAGCCATTGCTGTCCAAACAAAACATTGCTGCATGTTTACAGTTTGCACAAGAGCACCTGGATGTTCCACAGCAGTACTGGCAAAATATTCTGTGGACACATGAAACCAAAGTTGAGTTGTTTGGAAGAAACACACAACACTATGTGTGGTGAAAAAAGGCACAGCACATCAACATCAAAACATCATCCCAACTGTGAAGTATGGTGGTGGGGGCATCATGGTTTGGGGCTGCTTTGCTGCGTCAGGGCCTGGACGGTTTGCTATCATCGAAGGAAAAATGAATTCCCAAGTTTATCAAAACATTTTGCAGGAGAACTTAAGGCCATCTGTCTACCAGCTGAAGCTCAACAGAAGATGGGTGTTGCAACAGGACAATGACCCAGAGCATAGAAGTAAATCAACAACAGAATGGCTTAAACAGAAGAAAATACGCCTTCTGAAGTGGCCCAGTCAGAGTCCTGACCTCAACCCGATTGAGATGCTGTAGCATGACCTCAAGAAAGCGATTCACACCAGATATCCCAAGAATATTGCTGAACTGAAACAGTTCTGTAAAGAGGAATGGTCAAGAATTACTCCTGACCGTTGTGCACGTCTGATCTGCAACTACAGGAAATGTTTGGTTGAAGTTATTGCTGCCAAAGGAGGTTCAACCAGTTATTAAATCCAAATGTTCACATACTTTTTCCACCTGCACTGTGAATGTTTACATGGTGTGTTCAATAAAAACATGGCAACATTTCATTCTGTGTGTGTTATTAGTTTAAGTAGACTGTGATTGTCTATTGTTGTGACTTAGATGATGATCAGATCACATTTTATGACTAATTTGTGCAGAAATCAATATCATTCCAAAGGGTTCACATACTTTTTCTTGCAACTGTATCTATTTTTTTTTATATTTCTATGGTCTTCACTAATTCTCAAGCTTCCTAGTTGTCCTTCCTACATATTGGAGGCCACAACTACCTTCCAATAGATGTATGACATTCTTAGTTTTGCAGTTTGTATATTCCCTAATTTCACACTCCTTCCCCCAGAGTTAGAATTAAAAAAGGTTACCGATTTTTGTTTACGACAGTTATTGCTTTTGCATGACTGACACTGCCCACAGTAAGAGAGGCTATTTTTTCATTAAGCCAAGTGTTTTAGGACTTCCTTTTAGAAAATTATTTTAAAACTTGTTCTTGAGATTCAGTGCAGAGCTTTATACTAGAAACACGGAAGTGGTTTAAAACCATAAAGGACCCACCAACATTGTTAAAAGCCTTTGAAACCTATCTACACAACCATTAATGAGACGTACAGCTTCTATGAGAAGTTGCAAGACAAAAAAATTATAAAACATCATATATGGGAAACTCACAGGCATGATTGACTAGAGTGTCTCATTATAGTGTGCACGTTAATTCAGCAATAAATGAAAGCAGGACATCAGTATATGTGAAGGGAAGGGAGAGCGAGTAAAGAAGAAAAGAAAACATAAATAAATACATAAATAAATAAAAAAGGAGAGGGAGAGGGAAGGCACCCTCAGTCTGCTTATCAACCTGGGTCATCAACGTTTTTGCTGTTTCATTACAAACCCGAGTTCTATCTTATAAGTGCTTGGAAATCATCTGATCCTGTAATAAGCTAGTAAGCATCCAATGGGTCCAAACATTGAAGTATACTTGCATCCTGCCCCAGATTGAAAGATGGGTTCCGCCATGGAGCGAAGTTATTCCATGCACTGAAATCATAGGGTGAGGAGGGGTTCTGTCTTCCAGAAAATGGTATGAGGATTTAGCTGCTTTCAAGATTCTTATTTTGTTTTGTAAATAGATGTTCAAATTTTGGTATGATGTAGCAAGAGCAAGTGAGAAAATATAGGGCCATATAGAAAGTATGTAAAGTTTTTGCTAATTCAGTGTGCATATATTTAAGGTGATCGTCTGTGGTGCGGATTTTGGCAGTATAGGAAGCTGACCTTTTCTTTGCAATAATGCAGGCCTGTAGGGATCCGCTTTTATTGGCGTTGGTTTTAGTGAGTGAGAGAGCTCTTTTTTATGTGTGGTTCATTAAAGTCAAAAGCTCTCTCCTTAGGTAGTCAATTTGTGCCAGTCTCCAAACTGTCCAGTTTGTTTGTGTGTCATTTGCAATTGTTGTATTTCTTCTTAATTGCTGTGCTCTTAACCATAAGAAACCCCCTGATAATGCATTTATGTGCCTCCCATAGACACATCAGCATTGTGTCTTCCTTGTTATTCTCCAAAAAAATAAAGTGTAAGGTGTATACAAACTTCCTGGTCTATCAGGTCTATCAGTGGATCAGTCAAGAGGGATTCATTAAGTCTCTAATTGAGTGACATTGATCTGTGAAATGGGGATGTCAGGGTCATTAGGTACAGGGCATGATCCAAACACATTGTCGTCCTAATATGGATGGATTTTAGGTCAACAATAAAATAATGGGGAAGGAAGAAATAATCCAAAATGGAGAATATGGTTCAGTACTGAGAGAAAAGTGAAGTGTTTCTCATCAAGATGCATGGCTCTCCAGCAATCAACTAACCTATAGTCTAGCAGGCATTTATGGATGGATTGGAGAACATTGCGAGGTACAGTGTATGAGCCCAATCACCTGACTTTTTTTTATTTTTTTTATTTGTAGATTTTATTGTTTTTCAAAAGTATTTACCATCGTAGAATAGGGGTACAGAAATAGAAGGGGGGGAGTGCATGCAAAAACATTTGCATCTGGGGTGGCAATTGACATCACAGGTATAAGTACATATTCGGACAGATAAATAATACATATCAATAGGGTTTGTCAAAGTTATACAGTTTATACAGTATTCATTAATGCATCTAAGACGTGTACACTTTCTAAGGCTGAGGTTCGAGTTTGTATTGAGATCAGGTGTATCCATTTACTAGGATCCATATTGGGTTGTGGGCCAGAGGTCCAGGTCGTTGTCATGGGTGTTAAGTGGGGAATCAATGTTGTCAGCTCCCGCCTGCCTGTTTCGTGCCACCGTCTTAGCTAGGCCAGAAACGGCCCTACATGGCGGCAATTGTGGGTTGTTGTGTGCGCGTCTAGCGGGCGGCGGAGTGAGGACTACCTAAGTGAACTGGGCTATGAGTCCTGTGTCTTGTTCTGATCACCTCAGGTGGTATTGTGGGAGGGACGTGTCGTACTGCCAATCAACACAGCAGTCGACTCATCTGGGTAGGTAACCCAGTAGGGAGGAGTGTGAACCACCGATAATCAGGTTGTATTGCCGGCCACGAATCTCACCCATGGCGTCCATGTGTCCCTAAAAAGTGTATAGTTGTGGGAGATGGATGCGTGGATCTCTTCCATAGTTCTGATTGACTCTACTCTTGCTACCCATTCCCTGATCGTGGGGACCTCAGAATGTTTCCACTTAACCGGGATGAGCAGGTTGGCTGCAGTAAGAAGATGTAGCAGGAGGGTTCTTTGTGTCTTGGGAATTGGGGTAGGTAAGATCAGGAACAGCAGAGTGTGGGGGGTAAGAGGCAGTTGTGTACCTGTTACAGTATGGATCATCTTCACAATGTTGGTCCAGTATCGTTGTGTGAGTGGGCAATGCCACCAGATGTGGGCTAGTGACGCTTTTGGTTGGGAGCATTTCCAGCACACATCGGGCGTGTTCGGGAAAATGTTATGGATTTTGGCCGGGGGGTAGTGCCACCTGGATATTCTCTTATATCCACTTTCTTGGATTTGAGTGCATGTGGACGTTGTGTGGATATGTGAAAGGGCAGTCCGCCACTGAGGCAACGTGATTTGTACATTGAGGTCTGTTAGCCAGGATTCTGTGAAGGGTGGCAATTTGGTTTTATGTTCGGCCCTCAGAAGTTTATAAAAGGTCGAAAGCTGTTTGGTTTTGGGGGTATTGGTTAGACAGTGTGTCTCAAAATCGGAGAGGGTGCGGGAACCCCCGAGCAAGCTCATGTTGGCTCTTAAGAAGTGCGTCAGCTGGGCGTAGTGAAATGCTTGTAGTGTATGTGGGGTTGCAGGGCCCACCAGATCACTCAGTGTTCGTATGGAGTTGTTCTCAACCACTGAACCCAAAGTCAGGTAGGGAGCGTCCAGCATTTTAGAATACCGTTGGTATAACCCGGGTTGCATACAAGGGGGGAATAGTGGGTTGTAGGTGATGGGATAGAGTGGAGATGGGTGAGGGGAAAGACTCTCAGCCTCCCGTATGTTCACCCATGTCTTAAGCGTGGGGAGGATGGTGAGGTGTGCGGAGCAACAGGAAAGCAATTTTGAGGGAATTACTCTTTGCCAGGGGAGTGTGTAAAGAGGTACTAGGCTCACTGCACTCTCAAGGGTTACCCATTGGCGTGCTGGAGGGTGCGTGGACCAGTCGTGAATCATGGAAAGAATGGTTGCCCTGGGCCTCCCTTTCCATGTGTGGGAGGCCCAAGCCTCCACATGACTTGTGTCTGGTGAGAACCTCATATGGAATTCTAGGTTGTTTCTGTGCCCATATAAAAGCGGTGAAAAGTTGCCTAAGTTTTGTGAAAAAGGGCTCTGGTATTGCTATTGGTAGGGTTTGGAAAAGGTACAGTATCTTGGGGAGGGAGTTCATTTTAAGAATATTGATTCTACATAGCCATGAGAACTGTGTTTTTTGCCAGTTTTGCAGGTCTTTTGAGATAGTTTGGTATAGTGGGTCGTAGTTTAGTGTGAAGATGGAAGAGAGATCCGCCGGCAGACGAACTCCCAGGTATGTAATGGATTTATCCGCCCATGTGAAGGGAAATGCGGCTTGCAGGCTTGTGCGTGAGGGGGGCGCTATTCGAATTGGTAGGATTTCGCTTTTGGAGAAATTTACCTGAAAATTGGAGAGTTTATGGTATTGGGCTATTTCCTCTAGGAGTGGGGGCAAGGAAGTGTCAGGAGTTTGTATGGTGAAGAGTAGATCATCAGCGAAAGCTGAGATTTTGTATTCCGCCCCTTGTATTTGAATGCCCCTGATAGCCGGGTTGTTTAAGAAGGGTTCTAGTATGAGGATAAAGAGGAGGGGGGAGAGGGGACAGCCCTGTCTCGTGCCGTTTCTAATGAGTACTGGTTCCGAGAGTTGTCCATTTACCCTTAGTCTGCCTGTGGGATTTGAATAGATGGCTTGCATCCAGTCCAACCATTTGGGACCAAATCCTATTTTACGCAGGGTGGAAGTCAGTAGTGTCCAGTCCACTCTATCGAACGCCTTTTCCGCGTCGATTGAGAGCAGGAGGCTCTCCGTTGGTAGGCGTTTTGCCAAATATATCAAATTTTTGTGGTGTTGTGTTTTGCTTCTCTGTTGGGAACGAAGCCCGCTTGGTCGGAGTGTATCAAGGTTTGGAGTAAAGGTTTCAAGCGGGTGGCCAATATTTTTGTAAACAATTTCAAATCAAGATTTATCAGAGATATTGGGCGGTAGCTACCGCAATTGGTCGGGTCTTTGCCAGGCTTGGGTATTAGGGCTATGTGCACCTCCAAAGATGCTTTGGGGAAGGCGACAGGTTGAGCAAGGGAGTTAAATGCCCGTATGAAGGGTTCAATAAGGGAGTGGGCGAATGTTCTGTAGTATTTGGCCGTGAAGCCGTCTGGCCCTGGGCTCTTCCTCAGTTTGAGGTGTCGTATAGCAAAATTGACTTCGTCTGAAGTTATAGGTGCATCAAGCGTCAGAAGAACATTTGCGGGGATAGTCTGGTGGACCCTGGAAGCCAAGAAGCGTTCAATGTCCTGT